GCGAAGCAAGCCCGTTCTTGGACGAAAGTTTTCAAGGTTTCAAGTTTAAGGGGTCAGCATAGAGCGCAGCCTAGAACAAGCGTCTGTCGAGTGTACTCGGTAACGAGCTCGAAGAACACGGGCTTCCTACCGGCTGCAGCTGCATGTCGGTGGTTTCGTTCTGGCTTCTGGGAGGTTTTGGAAAACCTAGTGCGGCCGCAGCCCCAACTCTCCCCACCACATCAACGCGTTGGGGGGTCGGAAGTATTACTCATAGTTTTCTTCCCTTATGGTCCCTACATAATCATACTCTAATAACCCCCCAAAATCCTATTCGAATTATTCAGGCCTTCAAACCCTAAATGCTAAACCCTGAACCCTGGACCCCAATCCCTAACCTTAAACCCTAAACTACTAAGCCCTAAACCCTAAACCCTAAACCCTAAACCCTAAACCCTAAACCCTAAACCCTAAACCCTGAGCCTATATTGCACCCCGCGCCTTTGCCTTTTCGGAGGCCGAGCGCCGCTTTGCGGAGGCCTCGCAGCTGGAGCTGGAGCAGCGCCTGGAGCGCTCGGGGCCCCGGATTTCAAGGGGGGTGTTGGGTTTCAGTTTGGGGGTGCTTGCGGGGTTTAGGGTTGCTATAGGGTTTAGGGTTTGTAGGGTTTAGGGTTCCTAGGGTTTGGGGTTTAGGGTTTAGGGTTTTAGGGTTGAGACAATTGGGGTTTCGGGTTCCCACCCACCCCTGGGCATCAGCGTTGAAGCTCAACTTGTTCACCGTAGTCTTGGGGGTTGCTTTTGGCTTTGGCCGCTTCGCCGCTGGCTCTGGCCTCCAAAGCATTGGCACCCTCTTAAAGACGAAGCCTAAGCTAGTGACCTTGCTTATAGCCAGCCATGCACCTTCAAACGTCGGGCCTCCAGCGATTGAAGGCATGCGGCTCAGCCACGAAGCCGAGCGGGAGCTTTGGCAGAGTGAGCAGCGCCAACCTCGGAGATTCGGAGAACCGACGCCCCAAGCCCAATGCCTCCCTAAGTCCCCAGTCCGAAGTCCCTCATTGTGGACTCTCTGACCCCTGGGGTGCGGTGTAAATCGTGTAGCGGTAGGATTAAGGGGCCTAAGCCTGGACCCCCAAAACCCCCTAAACCCTCAGCTGCAACTTGCAGCTCATCAAGAAGCTAGGACTGAAGGTTCAGGAGTTCGGGTGAAGTTGCGTACCCAAGCCTTTCAAGCTCGATGCAAGAAATTCTGCAGCTGGGGACGCACCCTAAACCGTAATAAATTCTTGTACGCGCCAGGAAAAACAAACCTCCCAGCGCGAAGTCCCCTGGAAAAGGGTATGCTGCAGGGCACTGCAGGGTTTCTTGCAGCAGCCCTTGCGCGCCTGCTCCTCGCGCTTGGAACGCGGCCGTCAGTTTGGATGTGGGATTCGCCCCCTTTTTTTTGGTAAGCCCGGGCCCTAAATTTTAATGTAAGGAACTTTCAAGCGAAGCCCCAAGGTGCACCCATACGCGCACCCATATCTCCTTTGCGTGCGAACGTGTGTTGCGTCGGCTCGCAGCTGGCAAGTCCCTTAAGCCCCCAACTCGGCCTTCGAGGCTCTCTCTCCAGCGTCGCCTCGACGCCGCCCTCTGCGATCGATGCGCCTGGATGCGCGAGAAGCGCCCGTGGCCCCAGAGATGGATGAGTTGGATGACTAATTTGGCGGGAGGGGCACTGCAAGTTCGTGTTAGCTCCGGTCAGTATGGCTGTGTACATATATATATATATATATGTATGTGTACATATACATAAAAGTATGTATATATATATATGTACGTTAGTATATGTATATACACTCTATATATATATATATGCACATAATATATATTTGTCTATGGATAGTGTGGACTAAGCCCAAAGCCATGCCAGGGCAACTCCACCAGGCTTTGCAGAACGTGGTGCAGGCAGAATGTGGCGGGTTCAGGGTCTCGGGTTTGACTCTAGGGTTTTAGAGCATAGGGGTTTTAGGTTTTTGGGGTTTAAGGGAAAAGGGTTATTGCGATTGGTTTTTAAGGGTTTTGGGCATTCGGGGTTGGGGTCTTACGGGGTTTGGGCTTTGTTAGGGTTTTAGGGTTTTAGGCTTGGTTTCGGGTTTCAGGGCTTAGGGTCTAGGGTTTTAGTGTTTTAGGGATTAGGCTAGGGTTTCAGGGCTTTAGGTTTTAGAGTTTGAGGGCGGGGGTTTTAGGGCTTAGGGTTTAGGGTTCAAAAAGGGTTTTAGGGCTTAGCGTTTTAGCGTTTTAGTGTTGTTAGGGTTTTAAGGGTTTTAAGGGTGTTTAGGGTCTTTAGGGTTTTTAGGGTGTTTAGGGTTTTAGGGTGGTTTTAGGGTTCAGGGTCGGGGGTTTTAGGGTTTTTGAGCCAAGGGTCCAGGGCTCAGAGCGTCTCGCCAGCAGTGGCAGTGAACACTTTGTGGAAATGACGACGCTGGGTGTGAGGGGGCGGTGTATCACGCGAAGGCTTAGGCCACCCACCAAACCATTTTCCTTTTGGGGTCCAGGGCTGCATCCCTCAAGCCCCACCATCACGAATGCCTCGAAATTCGACGAAAGCGCCCTTAAAGCTCCTCATGGGAGAGGGGCCACACGCACAAGGTTGCGGGGTGTCGGAGGGTGTTCGCCATTAGAGGGGCTCTCCGGGGCTCCGGCGGCCTCCAGGACCTTTAGGGAGTTCAGGGGGGGGGGGGCGCCCCAGGTGTTTGAGGGCTTTGGGGTGTTTGGGTTGGGGCTTTAGTACTTTAGGGTTTTAGGGTTTTAGGGTTTAGGGTATTTGGGTTGGGGGTTTTGGGCTTTCATGGTTTATGGTTTTTGGGTTTTAGGGTTTTCGCGTTTTTAGGGTTCTTGGGTTGGGGCGTTGGGTTAGGGTTTTAGGGCTTCAGGTTTTTTTGGGTTTGAGGCTTTGAAGGTTTTGGGTGTTAGGGTTGGGTTTTAGGGGTTTAGGCCTTCGGGTTTGGGGTCTCAGGGGTTTAGGGCCCAGGGTTTTAGGGTTTAGGGCGGGTTTTAGGGATTAAGGTTTTAGGATTGTTTTTTTTGGTCTTAGGGTTTAAAATTAGGGTTTGAGTGTAATCGGGATTAGGGTTTTAGGGTTGTAGGTTGTAGGGTTCGAGGGTTGGGGGTTTAGGGTTTAGGGCTTTGGGTTTAGGTTTTTGAGGTTTTAGGGCTTAGTGTGTTACAAGGTTTAGGGTTGTTAGGGTTTTCGGGTTTTAGGGTTTTGGGATGTTTTAGGGTTTTAGGGTTTTTGGGTTTTTGGGTTTTTGGGTTTTTGGGGGGCTAGGTCTTTTGGGGGGATTTGGGGTATTAGGGTTTTAGGGCTTGGGGTTTAGGGCTTAGGGTTTAGGGTTTTGGGATTGGGGTTGTAGGGTTCGAGGGCTTAGTCTTGCAGTTGAAGGTTTAGCGTGTAGGGTTTCAGGCTTTAGGGTGAGGGTTTTGGATCAGGGTTTGGGTTGTGGGGAGGGGTACTGGGGAATGGGGGCACCATTGGGGGGCACAACCGTATATGGTGTACATATATATATATATATATATGTGTGTGTGTGTGTGTGTGTGTGTGTGTGTGTGTGTGTGTGTGTGTGTGTGTGTGTGTGTGTGTGTGTGTGTGTGGGGGTGTGTGTGTGTGTGGGGGTGTGTGTGTGTGTGTGTGTGTGTGTGTGTGTGTGTGTGTGTGTGTGTGTGTGTGTGTGTGTGTGTGTGTGTGTGTGTGTGTGTGTGTGTGTGTGTGTGTGTGTGTGTGTGTGTGTGTGTGTGTGTGTGTGTGTGTTTACATATAAAAATTATATATGTATGTATACATATCCATATAATATATGCATGCAATATACGCCTTCCTTTATGTATGTATGTATGTATGTATGTATGTATGTATGTATGTATGTATGTATGTAGGTATGTATGCCTGTATGTATGTATGTATGTATGTATGTATGTATGTATGTATGTATGTATGTATGTATGTATGTATGTATGTATGTATGCATGTAGGTACGTAAGTCCTTGTCCGCCTTGCGGCCAGTCCTTGCCCCCAACGGCTGCTGTTAGTTTGGCACCCCCGGCTGCACAGAGCCTGTGGTGGTGGGTAGGGCGGCATCGGGGTTGCCGGTGAGGGTTCCGGGTGTCGGGTTTGGGGTTTAGGGTTAGCCTCAAAGGACAAAGGAAAAGAGGCCATGGTTATGGGACATTGTTGGGGCAATTTGGCGGGCCTAATTTTGTAAAACCGCAGGAGCCTCGTAGGCCCGATGTCTCTCGGTTTGCGGGATTTGTCGGGTTTGGGGTATGTGTCGGGTTTGGGGTATGTGCCTCAAGCTCACCTACATCCGAGTAGCTTGCAAATTTCCTTAAGCCTTAAAGCAAGCCCTGGGCCTCAAAAACCGAAACCTGCAGCGCCACGCCCGAACACGGTAGAGTCAGACGTTCCCAGCCCCAAACCTGAGCCTTAAAACCCAAGACTTGCAAACTCTGGAGCTCAAGCCCTGTAGGGCCCCAGAGGTCCCAAGCCCTAAGGCACAGTTGCTTTCTGCCCTCGCCGACTCGGAAGGAGGCCTTGCAGGCCTCCTCACGCCACTTGCCGCCCTACGGCCAAATGTTTCTTGCTGTTCTCGCTAGTCTCGGCCTAAGCGCGGTTCTTGGGAGGCTTTCGCCCCGTGGAGTTTGGGTTCTGCCTTCTCTTAACAATCGCCTTGCATGATCGAGAAGCTGCCTGGTGCCCGTGCGAGCCCATTTTGGCTGCGGACCGCGTCGAGACCCCTGACAATTGGAGAGAAGCGCAGCTACTGCAAGAGACCCGAGCTAGACATTTGTGGCAGGTGAGGCAAAGCCAGCCCGAGAAGCCAGTCTGAGCTGATCCGGGCACCCCCAACCAACAAAAACCCGCAGGCTTTCGGTCTTGAAGCTCGAAAGGCCAGCTGCAACCCCAACCCGCCCAAAACCGACCTCCTCAATGTAAAACCCACCAAAACCAATCCAAAATGTACCTCGAAACTCCTGCCACCGCCATGGCGCACGTGTCCCATGCCGGCACGGGCCTGGAGAGGGCGGGCTCGCCCTCTGTATCACCGGCGATGCCGCCTGGGCCAGGTTCTACAGTTTAAGGGTTCAGGTTCTCGAGGGCTCGCTTGGACAGCATGCGGTTGCGCAGGAGTTTGTCTCTTTAGTTTGTCTGCTGGTTTGTTTGTTTGTTTGTTTGTTTGTTTGTTTGTTTGTTTGTTTGTTTGTTTGTTTGTTTGTTTGTTTACGTGCTCTTCTTGTGGGTACTGGATATCTGGCGTTTGCACGTCACTCTCCCTTTGTCTCTCGGCTGGCGGTTACATAAACGCTTGGGCGCCGGGACTCGCGGTGAATCTCTGCAAATCCTGCGAATCAGCTCAAAAGCCTGAGCGGTGGGGGTGTCTTGAACCCGAACCATCAACCCGGATTTTAGGCCTGATGAGACTTCAGAGCCTTGTGGGTTTTCAAATGGGTTTATGGGCTTTCTTGTGGCGTGGATGCCTTGAGCACTTTCTTTTGAGGAGATGCCCCGACAGCTTTTTGCGCTCCAAAGTTTCCAAACCCTTGAAGCCCCCCAAGGTTTCGAACTTTACTGACCTACTGAAGCAATCTCCCCTGAATCCGCTTGCAAAGGAGATCGCCGCTGTCCAAGATGGCCAAGCTTTTCAAAAAGAGGACCTGCTGGGTTGTTTTGGGGTTCTAGATGTATGCTGGCCCCTAACCTGAGCCCCCAGACTCATGACCCTAACCCAACCTCAGCAGCTTGAAAAATTTTGCCGCTATCCGCGATGCTGTGGCGACCTCCATGCTCCAAGCAATGCCCGGCGCGGACAGGACCTCTGCCGTCGTGCTCGACGGCGCGCACTACCAGAGGTGTGAGGTGCACTTTGTTTTTTTTTTTTGGGGGGGGGGGGGGGGGGGGGGGGGGGGGGGGGGGGGGGGGGGGGGGGGGGAGGGGTGGGGAGGAGGTGGGGAGGAGTCTTGGGGTGCGGCTTGGAGATTGTTGGGGCCTCTGGGGCTTGAGGTTAACGGAAAAAGGGCCTTCCGAGCCAACGCCCTTGTGACTTGACTTTCGGCTTGCTGTTTGCAGCCTCCCTGAAAAACGGAAACCGTTTGCGCGTGTATGTTTGAGTGGAGACCCGAAAAGATAGGGTTAGGTGGGTCTGGAATCTCCAAAATATCTTAAGCCGGCAAAAACAGTCTTTATGGAAAGCCGTACCTACGAAAGAAGCTCCAACATTAAAGACCCTAACCAGTCCAGCACCGCACCCAGAGGTCTCGCACCAAACCCACAATTCTCGGATGCCAGGAAAGAACCCAAGCCCTCAAAAGGCCCCAGGCCCAAGATTCTTGTATCCCCCACCTCGACCTCTAGATGTCCTCCTAGCCACAGGACCTGCAGCAAGAGGAGAAGGGGGCCCCTTGGCCTGAGCAAGCCTTCAAGGGTTGTAGCTTGAACTCATCAGGGGCTGAGCTTTAAGCCTTAGGGATCAGGTTTGGGCTGGCGCGAAGAGATTTCGGGTTGCCGAATCGGGAACTCCGGATATAGTAGTGTTGCTTGAACAAGACGTGGCGTTGTCAGCCCACAGGGCCACCGAGAGTGCTCACGACCTCTTCATACAAAGTGTTTAAGTGTTGATCCACCCCCTCAGGCCCCAGAAGCGACCCCTTAAACTCAAGTCTTGAACCTTCGAAGCGCTGAGATCCTCCGACGCTTCTGGATCCTCCTTGTGATCACCGCCGTCCTGTCGAGCTCTCTGCACCTGGCCCTCAGCACATGGGGGCTTCAGGGACTTGGGGCGGGTTTAGGGCTGTTAAGGGTTTCAGAGGTGAGGGCTTCAGTTGAGTTTGCATCACAAAGACCAGCTTTTCTTTGGAGGTTCCGGGCTCGAAGAGGTTTGTCCAGGGGCTTGTTGCGCCCTCCGAGGTCTTGGAGCCCAACCTCCCTGGTTTGGGAGTGTAAAGGTTTTACCCCAAAGGCCTAAGTGTTTTTCAATAGAGGGATTATAGGGGTCAAAAGTTTAGGGTTTAGAAAAGAGAGTGTAATGTTGCACCCGGTTTAGTGAGAGGGGGCACTATTATGCGATGTTTCCGAAACCTTATAGGGGACCCGGCATTGTTTAGGGTGGTCCTCAATTATGCGATGTTTGCCGGGCCGGGGTCGCCGGTAAGGGCAAAAAATGCTGATCTGGTTTAAACTTAGAGAGGCCAAAAAGGAAGCTGGTACTACTGGTACTACGACGACGACAACCCCAGCCCACACTATACAGGATCCCCGAAAACCCCAAAATTGTTTGGGGGGGGGGACCCCTACGTACTAAACCGAGTCCAACATCAGCCACTTCCGAACTGCACCCCGACCCCTTCCCCTCCCCGCGTCGACGTGAGGTCCTTCCTCATCGATGCTTTCACCTATACCACGGGCTGCTGGGCTAGCAAGACGCACCCTGCCCTCCCCTCCCCCCCAAACTTCCCCAAACCCTGAACCCCAAACGCGGCCAAAGTCCCAAACACGAAAAAAGGCCAAGCTTCAGAAACTCGGGGGCTCCTTGGTTTAGATTCTGTCTCGCATACGATGTGTGAGTCATGTCCCCAATCCTGAGCCCCCCTAAAGGTTTGCACTTTGAAGGTCATCTCCGCCACAACCTCACCATTGGTGCGCCGCTGAAGGTGCGACGGGGGCTCTTGGGATGCTTCGCCCCTGAACCCTGAAACCCGAGGCTAGGGCCGGGGGCCGGTGAAGCCCCCCCTCAACACCAGGCTCAACAGTTGCTTCCCTCGGGGGAACCCTGCAACCTGACTGCGGCCATGCCGGAGGCGATTTGTTTCAATGTGTGCCTGGCGTGCCTTGCGCGCCTTGTCGTGCGGCCGACCGTTGAGGCGGCCTCTTGTGTTGTGGGGTTTGGGCTACGCTCTGGTCCTAGGCTTTTACAACCCTAAGCCGGAAACCTGATTGGAATGGAAGAGCGGGACAAGTACGCACGCTGAGCACGGGTAAGGCTTTTGGTGCTAGGTTTGGCCCAAACCCCCCAGTAACGAAAACGAGTGGCGTTGCATGCTGCAGAGATCTGGAGGCAGAGGGCAGCGGTTTCCCTGAGATGAAGGCTATGCTGCTTCTTGGCAGAGGTGTTGGCGTGTTTATGAAGTACATGTAGCGCACACCTGGGCGACATGGCTTCTCTTCGTTGCATCTAATGTTCGGACGCTTTCATTTCTTCATTGCTTTTTTTAGTGCAGAATAGGCCTGTTGTGAAATCTGACTGCCCGCACAGGGCGAAACAGCACAGAACTCAGGTTCGGGAAAGTGCTCTTCAACTTCCTGACCTTCCGGGTGCCTCCGCCGCTCAACACTTCTCCCCCCCAACTTCGGGTAGCCAGAGCAAGGAAAGAGGACGGAGCCTTCCGATGGTTTCGATCGCTGGGTTGTTCAAAAATGAATAAAAACAAGCAAATAAATAAACATATATATATATATATATATAGATACACACATTAAAAATGTGAGTGTATATATATATATATGTATATATATACATAAATGTATATATATATATATATATATATATACATGTATGTATGTATACATACATACATACATATATATATATATATACTAATCCAAAGTCGCCCTGTAAGCTGAGGTGCTGGTGTCCAAGGCCCTGGCCCTGTCTCTCGGGGTAGCTGCAGGCCTGCCGCTCGGGAAGGAAGGCCCGAACGTCCACATGGCGGCCTGCATCGCTCGGGTCATCCACCCGGCGTTCTTCGAGGCTCGGATGTTCAGAGGCCATTCCTGCGACAACACTGCAGTAGCAACAACTACGAACGGAAAACCTCAAAGCAACCAAGGAAAAGCGCGTGCGCAGCAGCCACGGCGCCCACGGCGCCGGCGGCAGCGGTGTGGGCTCGGCGGTCTCGAAACTCTTGCTGCTGGCGCTCAACCTCGGGTTTTGGTGATGGTTCATAGGGGGTTTAGGCCGTTTTCTTTGGCCGTGGCTGGGATAGTGCCACCTCAGTCCAAAGGGGGTTTGTTTGATGTTGTGAAGCAAGCCATCGAAGCATGGCTTCTAGGCCTTTTCCGAAAACCGTCTTCAGGGGCCTTCAGCGGCCTTCCTTGATGTCTGGGCCTCTGGGATAACCTGGGTGTCCAGACCCCTCAGGCCAGGGCCACACACTGGACATAGTGTCGAGATTGCGACCTGACGGTGGCGCGCTTCTCCTGTGACCTCCGAAGCCAAGGTTGGCGGCCTGCGCGGTCGGCGTGGGCGCATCCTTCTCGGCCCCGATCGGGGGCGTCATCTTCGCGCTCCTTAGCCTTGGTTCACAGGAGCACCCTCAACCTGCAACCCTCAAGCTTATGAATCCTGGCAGCCCTAAAGCCCTAAGACTACGACTCGAAGGCCAAACCTTTAAAAACCTAAATCCCAAGCTGCCTTCGGGTCAAGGTTGGAGCTGATGTTGCCCCAGACCTATGATGCCTTTGCCTACTGGGGCTGCTTCACCGCGGGCGTGGTGGGCGCCATCACCTATGCCGTAGAGCGAACCCTAGTCGCCGGAGGTGCAGCGCCCTAAATCGCCCTAAGTCAAGCATCCCTAAAGCCAGAAACCTGCGCCCCCTTCACCCTTTCAATCCCCAAGAGCTGGCTTTCGAGGTGCTCAGATCTTGCCGCTGATCAGCTCCAATGTGCTCCCTGGTGAGGGCGCTGATACGGAATTCCCGCTTCTGCGACTTGTGGTGGACATCATTCTTGGAATCTGGACTGTAGATGGCAATTTTTTGCCGAATTTGTGTTCAGCACAACGGGCAGGATGCGACTCTCAGAAGGTTAGGGCAATCCAGGTTGGGTTCCGCACGCGCCTCACACCCTCACCTCTGCACCCCTAAGCCCCATAAACCCCAACCCCTAAACCCTGCTCTGCTTGGCGGGTGGCAACACAACCCGAAACCAAAGAACTCCTAAACCAAATAACGCGCTGTGGACCGAGGCAGCATGTGCGGCCTACTGGGAGGTGTTTGGGTCAGGCCCACCAGGGAGAGTTTTTGAGTTTTTAGGATGCAGGGTTCGCCAGGCTGCCGCAGTATGCTCCTGAACAGCTCCTGTTTGTGAAGGCCTCAGTCAAGGCCTTTTCACTACCCTGGCGACTCCCGAGCTTTGCAGTGAAATGAAAAACAAGAGCTGTAATTCTGCATCCTAAGCCCCAAGCCCCGGCCCCAAAAACCATTGCCCTGAGCAGATGCCATGCTCACGTCTCGGCGACGCTCAAAAAGTGGCGCAGCCAGGACCGCTTTCGGCAAAGGAACGCGTAGCAATTCGAGCCAAATAGTGACCAGATGGTGCATAGAGCGAAGGGGTGACGAGAAGTAGAAGTCCACATTTAACACTAGCGCAACTCATGGCTCACTTTTGTATTGCAGCTGGGAGGTAGGAAGCCTTCGGTGGGCTAGTGTGCAAGGCAAGTTCAAGTGAGGGGGCAGCGCTTGCACGAGAATGCTGCGGCCCCATTTTCTGTCGACCTTCGTTGATGCTCTAGCTTTAATGGCCTGCCTCAAACCACAGCCTGGATGTCGGGTGCGGTAGAGACTTGCCCACGACGACACGCGAAGCTTCCATGATTCTGAAGGTTTACAAGGCTTTGCGGTTTTGGGTTCGGGAGCGGGTGATGTAGTGGAGCTGTTGTGCATGTGGCACCGTGAGCGAGAAGGGAGAAGCTGTGCCGTGCACAGAAGCCCCCCCCCCCCAATTTTGACAATCCCAGCTTTGATTGGCAGAAGCCCACAAATTCCCAAAAACACCTACAGAAAATTTAAAAACCACTCCAAAAAGCCCTAGAAAACATCGAGGACCCTGTTAAACGCATTTTAAACAAACCCCAGGACCCCCTTTTCAAAAAACCTCCAAAAAGAACCTGGCAGAGAGCGGAGCGAAAAAGGACACGCCGCAAACGCCCCGGCCGGGAAGCAGCCAGGAGCCGCTCCTGGGCCAAGCCGTGGCCTTAGTTGGTGAGGAGATTCCCCTGGAAGGGGGTACTTGTTCTACATGTATTCATGGTTTCTATTGGTTGGTATTATTAGTATAGTTATCACTCTCATGATGATGCTTATTATGTGGTTTATTCCTATTATTGTGTTTCTACTCTGATTATTATATTATTGATTTTTTGGCAATATCTTGATGACTGTTATGATTGTTTTTCTTGTTCTCATTATTGTTGTGATTTTTATTCTTGCTGTTTATTATTAAAATTGTTACTGTCATTCTTGTTGTATTCTTATGCTTGTTATGGTTGTAGAAATGTTCCTATTCTTATGTAAACATACAGTAGGGTTGTAAGTCGGGTAGCTATGATGATGGTGGGTGATAGCCCGGATTTGGGGTACTTCTAGAACCCTGCGCCAAGTACCAAGTCCAAACCCGGCAAACAAAGTGGGGTTCACTTGGAGGTTCATGGGTAGTTATAAGTAGGGCTATACGTAGGGTAACTCTAGTATTTAGGGTACTTGTAACCCCTACTTATAATTACCCATGAACCTCCAAGTAACCCTAAACCCTAAACCCTAAACCCTAAACCCTAAACCCTAAACCCTAAACCCTAAACCCTAAACCCTAAACCCTAAACCCTAAACCCTAAACCCCAAGCCCTAACCGTTTTTTAGGGTTTGGGGTTTACTGCTTCGGGTTCCGAGGCCCGTGGCAGGCGAGGCTTTGCCGGGAGGCTTCTGCAGCTCCTGGGCGGGAAGTGGCGAGACCTCGCCTTGGTCGCTGGCATCACCACGCTGAGCCTTGGCTTCTAAGGCAACGTGTAGGAGAATATATATATATGTCTTCGCAGAGATGAAGATGCAGCCATCTACATATATGCATATATATACATATACATACATATAAATATAAATATAGATATAAATTTAGATATAAAACCAAATATGAATATGAATGAATATGAATATGAATATGAATATAAATATGAATATAAATAGAAATTCAAAAATAAATAAATATAAAGATAAATATAAATATAAATATAAATATATATTTATTAAAAAATTGAGACACACACACAGAGGTACAGATACATGCCTTTCTTGCCCTATTGTTGCCTTAAAGGCAAGGGTTTGCACAAGACATCTTGGAATGTTTACAGGGAGTCGGTTTAGGGCTTGAGGGTGCTGGGTGTGGGCCTTGAGCCGATGCTTTCTTGGAAAGAGCAAATCTGTCAGCCAAGATTGGGGTGAAGTCGTTGTGGGGTCGAGTCGATGTGTTCTTGGGAAGAGCAGACCTGTCAGCCAGGATTGGGGTAAAGTCGTTGTTGGGTCGAGCCGCGGTTTTCTTGGAACGAGCAGACCTGTCAGCCAGGATTGGCGTAAAGTCGCTGTTGGGTTGAGTGGATGTTGCCTTGGGAAGAGCAAACCTGTCAGCTAGGATTCTGGTAAAAACGGCCTGCGCTCCTCAAATCCCTTAGCCTTGCGAGGCCTCCTGCAACTGAACCCTTCGCCCCGAAAGGTCATAGCTGAGGAACACCATCCCCGCCAACCGACCACACACCTCCAACTTGTACAACCCAAGCAGCCATGCGCAAGTGGGCGTCATATTGAATGCGGGAACCCCCTTACAAAGTAGCTGTGGTAATTCTGCCAGACTCCCCAAATTTCCACCAACCCCCCCCGGCCCCAGGAACACCATTCTGGCCTCGCTTCTGCCGCTTTTGGGGGGCAAGCAACAGCCACTGCTCATTTCGTGCCTTGCATGCTTGAGGACTTGGGGATGTTTAGGGCTCAGCGGCGTTTAGAATTTGGAGATAGGAGTTTGAAGGTTTGTGTCTACTCATACCTAAGGTTATAGGCAGGGTATCGGCATCAAAAGAGTAATGCGAACTAGAGTGCATCTAGTTGAACTTTGTCAGCGTGTGTAAACGCTCAATCATGAGCCTTCATGTAGGGCTTAGGGCTTTGGAAGCCTGTGCTGTTTGTGGCCATGGATTTGGGCTTTATGTAGTCTTTGTGGGACTTGTTGGGTTCTGCCGAAGGTATAGTGTGTGCGTGTGTTTAGGTTTTCAGGCTTGCTGTAAATCCTCAACCTTGCCCTAATCCCTTAGCTGCAAAGCACCATAGGCCGTCGCGCCCCGGAAGGAAAAAAAACATACAAAATCCTGCTCAAATCCTAACGAGCTGCAAAAATAGCAAAACAGCAAAGCAGCAAAGCCTGTCGTCTTTTGCCTTTCGCCACAGCTCCAGAGAATTCGGCCTGTGGAGTCCTGCAGCTGGAGGCTCCCAATTTCCGGTAGGATCGGGGTTTCAGGTGTATTGCAGGCTTGACGTAACCAAGACCCTAGGCCCGAATCCGTGAGGCTGCGCTTGGCAGGTGGCAAGGCCTAAGCCCTACACCTTGTGAGCATCGTTAGAAGTGTGCTTGTGGACCCACTCAAGAATCATCTTAAGACCTGGTGGGAAGCCTTGAACCTAAGCCTCTCAAGGAGAACAACGATCTTCGCGTAGTTAAAAGGGCTCTTAGTATGGGCCCTAGACTGGGAAGCCCTGATATATTCCCCCATATACCCTATACCATACTTCAGAAGACAACGGACCATAGAAAGGGACCATGTAGCTACCCTTAGAAACGAGCCGAGGACCATCTTCAACAAGAGGCTGCACTTGGATGCGCCGGAGCCGGGGGGTTTGGGTCTTCCTCATGTTCAGAAACAAGGAAGCTTCAGCCTTGCGTCCCTTTTTCTCTGGGGAAGTGCGCACGCCCCCTACATTTGGTTTGGTGACTGAACCCTGAGATCCAGCCCCAAGTTCTATGTCGTCAACGCTTGCGTGAGTGAAGCACCTGCACCACCTCAAGAGGAGAAGTGGGTTATCTCCTGGGCTGGGGTGACTGGCACGATGACCTTCTGCTTCCTCACGAAGTGGCTCCTTGGCCTTCCCTCAACCCCCAAATCCCAGTGTGGCAGAGTGTTGCGGAAACCGGGCTGGGCTGGCATTAAGGCACTTCGCCTCTCCCACGGCAGGGGGTTTAGCGGTTGACTGAATCCCCAGATTTCTGGGGCAAAACCCCCCACTTGCGAAACCCCTACGTAAGCCTCTGAATCTTGCACAAGCCCCGCGCCGGGCAACTTCCTCAAGCCGCAAGCCTTTGAAACTGATGGGATGCTACCCTAAGCTTTGGAGGCTCTCCATTTTGAGGCCCCCCTTTAACCCTCCAGCCCCCCGCCCCGGCAAGCCCAACCCCCACTTTTCGTGAAGCCTGGCAAGCTAGGGGGCGTCTCGACAGCACCTATATGTATCCTTTGAGGGATTATACAGGGCCCGAAATTCCTCCCTCCTAGAAGGACCTATAGAGGGAGGGCCCGAAACCCTCCACGGGATGATGCAGGGCCCGAGTCCCCTCCCTACTAAGAACCAGCACAGGTTCATGACTCTTCTGGCCCTCTCAGCTGCGATTCCGGCGGGCGTGGTCGCGCCGACCATGTGCCTCGGACTCAAGAAGTTAAGGGCCTATACCATGGGGGTCGGAATAATTACCAATATTATTCCCTTATGGTCCCTTTATAATGTCAATATTTATATTAGAATAGCCCCCAAAACCTTATTGTAATTATTCAGGCCCCTGTATTAGGGGGCCTGGTGGCGAATCCCGTAGAGGTTGGAACAAAGGGGATTTGAGGTTGAAGGAGCTTTGTTGGGTTAGGCGTGGTGAGTTGTTCACACTCCAAGGCCATGCCGTCCCTCCAACTTCCCCATTTCCCCTACCCAGAAGCCCAAAAGCGTGGCCCGAGGATCATTGGAGGGCTCCTAGGCCGAGTTTACGCACACGTGCTGCTGCCGGAATGGTTCATTGAGATGCTCCTGCAGAAGGAGCTGAGCTGATGGGTTTAGGTCAAAAGGCTGGAGCCGAAACTCCTAAACTGTAACCTCAAAAATCCTCAATGCCGAACCTTTAAGGTCGAAACCAGGGCGTTTACCTCTCAGTTTTACCAGCCCTGTGCAGGACGGCGTGCCACCCACCGAGCTGGAGAAGGGAGATCCTTGCTTGGCCATTGGTGTATTTGAGGTTTGGGTAAACCACCCCAAACCTGTAATCCCTCGATCTTGGGCTTGTATTGAATTGTTCAAATGAAGGTCCAAAACCCTTATAAGCCCCTGCCAGGCAGGTGCTCCCTCTTTTTTTGTTGCGTGCCAAGGCCTTCATGGCGCGGTGTGCCATTGTAGGACCTTGGGCTTAAGGGTTAAGGGGTCTGTCGGGTTGAGGCAGGCTTCCAGGCGCAAAAAGGGCTTCAGGGTTCTGTCGTGAATGCAGCTCTTCCAGGCGTGTGCTGGCGGTTTGCGCGTCTGTGCATTGGAGGCTATTTGGGAGACAGTGATTTTTTTTCAGTCTTATCTCTCTCTCTCTCTTTCTCTTCTCGCTCTCTCTCTCTCTCTCTCCCCTCTCTCTTATCTCTCTTCTCTCGCTCTCTCTTGTATGCTCTCTCTTCTCTCTCTCTTCTCTCTCTCGTTCTCTCTCTCTCTCTCGTTCTCTCTCTCTCTCTCGTTTTTGTTTTGCTCTTCTCTCTCTCTCTCTCAAGCATGCGCCCCTACGCTCTGCGCTGTCTGTGCCTCCTGCACATCGTAGTGAATATGAACATGTTGTACGCACGTAGCCTATCCGTTTTGGGCACGGACTGAGCTTGTGGGTGCAGCCCGGGAGTTGAGCCTTGGAGGTTGGAATCTGGAGACTCCTGCAGACTCAAGGAAAGCGAAGGCATACAGTAAGCTTTATGCGGCATGTGTAGCAGAGCAAGTCCTCGAAGCCCCCAAGAGCCACAGGAGCCTCAGCGTTCTGCTCCGCTGTGTGCCGGGCCTTTGCCATGGCGATCACTGTGTTTGAGGCAATCTCTTTGTACCGGGCATGGCAGTTAGGCTTTCTTGCAACGGGTTGAAGCAGGCTGCTCCTGAACAGGACGCTTTGTTTCTTTGGGTCTTCTCTCAAAAGCAGAAGGTGAGGCTTGTTTAAGCTTACAGCTTCGAAGTTTTCAGGGCCGAGTTGGCCTGCCCTGTTGTGGTGACGCTCACTGCCCCAGGCTAGGCCTCCCATCTCCTATCACTTTGTTTTGGATCCCAGCGCTGCAGCATCTCCGTAGATGCCACCCTCGTCACGCAACGCCGAGCCCGAAGCCTTAAGCCCTGATGCCAGAGCCCCAAGCGAGGTGTTGGCGCTGCCGAACTCCGTGCTGCCGCTGCTTGGGCGCAGATTCCACGAAGCCCCAGTCATCGTCATGAGTCTCATAAAAAAGCCACTCTGCCGGCCTACGCCCCCCAGCTTTCAACCAGACCCCCTCCTGAGAGTCGGGGAACATCTCCTGCCGGCAAAGGTGCCCCCACAACCCCCCTGCCCAGGGCGAGAGCAATGTGTGGTAGGAAGAGGCGCCTTTTCACTCATGTAAGGGGCCGAAGTTCAGGGTCTAAACGCTCCGCCCGTAATTTTCAAACCCGAATGAATTCCCCCAACATGGAGCCCCAACCCCCTACAACCCTGAACCCTGAACCCTATACCCTAACCCCCCCCCCCCCCATCCCCCCCCCGCGTGCATAGTCTGAGGCTTTGCTGTGCTTCCCTGGCCGCCATCTTCGTGGCAAACAAGGACCTCATGCTGGAGATCGGTTTAGGGTTTTCCTCAACCCCAGGGCCCTTGAAGGTTCAGGATGTTTCGGCTTGGATTTGCAGCTGAGGGCGGATTTTCCGGCAACCCCGGCAACGCCGGTAACCTCAGATCCCAGAAATTCCCAGTCTATCAACTACTAGGGACTACCACCCTCAAGCCATTAAAGGGCCTAAACGGAGCTTTTGTTCAGAGAGATTCCAAACACAAGTCGCTTCGACCCGTGTAGACGCCCAGACCCTTTAAGGCTGTTATGCAACACTCAAATAGCTAAGCCGCCGAACCCTAAATCCTCAAAGGCCTACAAAACCTTAGAGCCCAACGCAGGTATCTCTGCCGTTCTTCGACGCCAACCTGGCAACCAGAAATCTCGGGGGCATCCCGGCCATCACCTTCACGGACAAGGCTTTTGGGTGCTTTGGGAAGGGCTTCTCAGGCCCCCCCAATCTCCTCACAGCCATAAAGCCGCAAAGCCCGCAACACCTCCCCCATACCGTCATAAGATCGACATACGAAAATCAAAATGTAGAAGTATGATCAGATCGTAATGTAGAAATACCTTCATATATTAATAGAAAAATGCATTCTTACAGTAAGATAAGGGAAAAACGAAAAAATAGTTTTAAATAGGTTAGTATTAAAAAGAGTCTATGAATAGAAACATCAAAGAGCTCTCATGGTTTCAACTCCAGGCTCTCGAGCCGGTCATGAAGGTGATGCAGGTGGTCGAGATGGGCGAATGCCTGCCCCAGGTCACCTCCTTGCGCCATGTTCTGCAGGCCCCCAAGGAAAAAGGGCCTCAAGGGTTTAGGGCCCCAGAGCAACCAAAGAACCCTAAACCCTGGGCCCTCAACCCTCAACCCTAAGCAGTTCTGGGGCCCCTGAACCCGAAAGCCCCACAGCCTCCTACATGCGCCCAAAGGGCTCGAGGGTTCAGACCATCTAGGCTTGGGGGTGTTAGGGGGTTTGAGTCCCCCCCCACCCCTTCCCAAAGGGCCCAGAGAGCCAGGTCCTGATGTCCACGAAGCACGACTTCTTCCCCATTGTTCGGCCTTTGGACTGGAACATCTCCGACCAGGGCCTCCTTGAGGCAAGCCCCGTCCAAAGAGCCAAAGAGCCCGGAAGGACGACGAGGGCATTAGGGCTTGTAGAGGGCTTGAGGGCTTGAGCTTTTTCCCCGGTTGAGGGGTTTTTACTCTGAGAGCCAGAAAGACGGACACGTTTAAGTTGGAATATCCATCTATCGGGTTCCCTGGCTACGTTTCTGTACGGTTGATGTTTCAGATGCCGGGTTTAGGAAGTGGGGCTTCGAGTGCGAGGGCTTGAGTAGCCCAACCGCTGCGGTGCAATTCGAGACGTCACCACTCGAAAGCCACCCGAGCCCAAAGAACACGGCTGGCAGAGAATCCTGCAAGTGACCCTCGAGGTGCATGGCGGGATTTCCCCCCCCCCCCCCCCGCCCACGAAGCCTGAGGAGCCCCTCGTTGAACGAGGGCCCCTCCTCCCGTGCCATCTCAAAGCCCCCCCCCGCCTCCCCCCCCCTCCGAAGCAGCCCGAAGCAGCCCCAGGGGACGATGACGAGGCAGAGTGCGGAGCGCCTTTTGCGAAGCTTGGGTTGAACTGGGGTTGAGTTTGGAATGCTTTTGTTGTAGGGTTTTAGGGTGAAGGGTTGTCAAGGTTGTTAAGGATATGCTTTAGGGTTGCAGGTTTTCGGGTTTGGGGCGTTAGGGTTTAGGGGTAGAGTGTGCGCGTGAGGGCTTCAGGCTTAGTGGGGGGGGGGGGGTTATGACGTGTATAGGGCGATTTGGAGGGCCAGGGCCAAAGATTGCCCTGTTGTATGCATGGTATGCTTTTGTCTCACTGTACTTGCAATCCCTACTTGCTGAGTTTGAGGCTTTTGAGTTTAGGGTCTGACTCTCCGGCGTGCACGGTTCGAGGGTGGAAGCAGATGACTCAGCAGGGCCAAGTCAGACCTCTCGCCCAATCAGTCTAGGCGACCTCAAGAAGCCAACACATAAAAGGCCATAAAGGCCAGTAACGCCAACATTTCCGACTCCCTTCTCGTGCCGAGTGTTGCTGAGTGCCGAGGAATGTGCGATCCAACGGGCGACGCCCCCGACAAGGTGACTTTGCGAGCCCGAAGCATTCCGCATGAAACCCTGCACCAAAAATCCCAATGGCTACGGCACAAGAGCCACTTTCAAAGGAACCGATCCTGCCGTTGCGCACCTGCTGTGCTCGGCCGTGTCAAACTTTTCGCGAGAACGGACACTTAACGGTCCGTGCGCAGATTGAGATGGGGTATTTTAAACCTAGCGCCCGTCAACATCTACAAAAGTTGTCCCAGCTGAAGCCCTAACCCTAAACCCCAAACCGTCAACCCTCAACCCTCAACCCTCAACCCTCAACCCTCAACTCTCAACCCTGAACCCTAAACCGTGCAGGCGCGCTCAGTTGCTCAGACTCAGAGACAGCGCCGAGAAACCCTAAACCCTAGACCTTCCCCTGAAATCTTGCGACCAGGAGGTGGACCTCCTGGATCCCCGATTCCAGGCGCCTCCGGATGGCTCTGAGCCGCTTCTGGGCTGCTAGGGGGGGGGGGGGGGTTGGAGGGTGGGGTTTAGGGTTTAGGGTTTAGGGTTTAGGGTGTAGGGTGTAGGGTTTAGGGTTTAGGGTTTAGGGTTCAAAGTTTAGAGTTAGGGTTTAGGGTTTAGGGTTTTGAGCGTTCTGTTCTGTCTTCCTGCAGCGTGCAGGGGCTTAGTTGTTGGTCGTGCTCAGCGTGGCAGTTGTTTCATTTCTCTCAACGGTGTGTGGTTCATGCGCAAAGACTCGTGCTGCCAGCTTCTCATGAGCCGGACAACAAGACTCACATATGGTGTTTCGTGCGTGGCTTTGGCTGGAACTCAGGGACAAGACGGCTTCTTTTGCAATACATGTCGCTAGTAAGTTCGGATACGCTATGCCCAACTCACTCAAAGTGCTGTAGTATGCTGTAGTTCGAGGCATAGGTTTTCTCCACATGCCGTTGGGTGTGACTCCTGGCAGAGACGTATGACAACAGCACCGCGTGCCAAACAAATCCCATGTGCACTGTAGAAGCTGTAAGTTTGCACCTTGGACTGGATTCGCCTGACAACAATCTGTGCCATCATCGCCTGTGCATTTGCTGGGTCAGCGTTTGCGAGATGAGAACAGCCGGAGCTCTCGCAATGCTCCATTGAAGGGGCAATTCGTGCTTGAGGCGTCGATTGACCCGGCACGAAAAGACGGATGAGCGCTTTGCTCATGGTTTGTATACAGTGCTTTCTAGGGACCCCCTAAACCCTAAACCTCAAACCCTAAACCCTAAACCTTAAACCCTACTTCGTATGTAGACCACCAAGCCCTTGTATCTGGGACCCCAGGCTGGTGGAGGGCTCGCCAGTGAGGGCATCCTTGCTGAATCATTAGGTTTCCAGTTTAGGGTTTAGGGTTTGGGGGTTTAGAGGTTTGGGGGTTTAGGGTTTAGGGTGACTCACGCAAGCCAGCCGCAAAAGGGTTTAGGGGTTTAGAAGTTTAGGAGTTGGCTGCCGCAAGCACGCGAAAGATCTCTTTGCGGAAATGCTGTGGGCGTCGGGTTTTGAAGTTCAGGGGGCTTAGGGTTTAGGGCTCGTTGTTCGGGGCTGGTGGGCTTAGAGGGCACCTGCGGACTGTTGTGTTAAGACTTTCCTTTGCGTTCGGGGTTGAGCTTACAGGATTGTGCCTGCGTGGCCGGCGATGCTATCTGCCTGAAAACTAGAGACAAAATCCTAAACTCCACCGTTCTTGAATCACAATGGCCAAGTACCAACCCTGTAATCCCTGCAAGCCGGGGCAGTATGAAGAGGGGTATATGAGGTGTCGCCCGACTGCACCGTCAAAGATGCGTACCTCCTGATGAAGGCCGGTGTTGAGAAATCAAGTGTTGGCTTGGTCCAAGGCTGCAGAAACCACAAGGGCCCGACGAACAGGGCGTGTGGATAACATCTAGCAAGGCTGCGAGCGGTTTGGCGGCTTAGGTTCGACAGCCCGCATGACAAAGCCTCGAGGGCTGCATGGTTGTTTGTGGAGATCGGGAGATTGTTCGGCCGCGAGCCTCAAGAGCCCGAACCCTAGGTTTAAACAGGTTCGGGCCCTCGGATATGCTCGCGGACGAAATGACAACACTAGTTCCTCGTTCTCTTGCATACTTGAGCCACTTCGAGTGTTGCTTCATGCTCTTGTTGCCTCCATAAATCAATAAATAGATATAAATATATACATATAACAATATATCAATATATCAATATATAAATATATAAATATATAAATATATAAATATATACATATATAGATATATAAATATATAAATATATAAATATATAAATATATAAATATATAAATATATAAATATATAAATATATAAATATATAAATATATAAATATATAAGTATATAAATATATAAATATATATAGATTATATACATATTACACATAATAAATAAATTAAATAAATAAAAATCAAAATATATATATATATAAATATATAAGTACACATACATTATGAAATATGATGAGCGGATGGGCGGAGATGACCAGATGCTGGTAAGGGCGAGCGCAAATTTGGCAATAAAATATAAATACATATAAATAAATAAATATATATATATATATATACAATTACAAATATACATATAAATATAAATATAAACAAAATAAATAAATAAATAATATATATATATATATATGTCTATGTATATATACACATATTCGAGAACTTTTTTATCACACTTGTTTCCACTCATTCTTGTGTCTGCGACTGCGAACGGGATAGGCGTCCGCCCTCCGTTATACCGAATCACTCCGAATCATCCGAATCGGATGTGAATCCGCTGACCGATAGACCTCGGTTTGGATGTTCATCTTGCGACCGATGTTTACCAACCATGTGCGTTTCGCAGATGTTGCTAGCATCGAGGAAGCCGGTGGAAAAAACACGCCCTCTGCCTTAAGCATCTTCAGCTGTCTTCACCAAGAAATTCGTGCTTGGTTTTGTGAGGGCGCCTGAGTTTCTTTGAACTTGAAGCCATCCTCTGCAATCCATCCCTCATCTCAATGCCAGGGTCAGAACGAAGAAGGCCAACCAGCGTCACGCACTGGTACACCTAAACCGAACATCACCCCCTTATGTCCTTACAAACGGCGGTATAGGCCCCCTGATCTTTTCGGAGGGTTTAGGACCACAAGGGGGTGTTTCCGGACCGTCTGAAGCTACATTGTTTAGGGAATACCATAGGGGTCGGAAATAATTATACTGATAGTGTTCCCTTAGGGTCCCTTTGTAGTTATACCATAATAACCCCCCAAAACCCCACTCTAATGATTCAGGCCCCCCATATTGAATCAGGTGGCGGAGAGTGACGGCGTGGTCTACGTCACGGAGCGTGGCATCCTCCAGGGCTTCGTGACCCTCAACACCCTGATGAGCCGCGAGATCTAAGGGAGGCTGAGTTTTGGGAGGGTTCCCCCTTGTACGAACAGCTCCTCATAATAGGGATGATTAAGTATCTCCTTATAATAGGGATTATTAAGTATCTCCTTATAAAATTGGGATTATTAAGTACCCCCTAGTAAAATCTCATTAAGGACTGCTAGGAAACAAGGGGGAGCATCCCAAGGTGAGTTGCTTATTATGGACTTCTAAGGCAGTCATAAAGCGCTTCATTTAAAAAAAAAAGCTTGCTACTTGAGTTTTTGAAAAGACAGTTTGTGGGCAAGTCCCAGCAGACACGTGGCGCACGCCCGGGCGGGTTCTTGCCTGGGAGTTGGTTCCAACTCCCCGGCAACGGCTTCTCCCCCACACGTGGGGAAAGGCTTGGGCGGCCCGGCCGCCACATGCACTAAATTCGTAATGGCAGACCCTGTGCTGGGAGATCTCGTGAGCACCAAGCCCTCTGCAACTTCAACGCCACCCCTTCACGGCGAAGGTCGGCTTGGACCTGGCAGGCTCTGCTCCAATTTAGTGTTCGCCTGGAGAGCCTTTTTGACGAAGCCGAGCTGCAGGGCTGTCATGAGCAGTCATGGCCACATCGCCTCGAGAGATCTAGGAGGGGGAGGGGGAGGGGAAGCAGATAGCTCCGTGTGCATCAAAGGCGCCACTCCTGTGACGTAAGGTTTTTGAGGCCCGAGAGTTGCATTGCATTCAGGGCACAGGGTCTGGCTCTTAAGCCCTTAAACCTTGACCCTGCCAACGTGCAATCCAGATGCGCTCTTTAAGTCTTTCTTTTTTCCTGGCTTTCTCGCTCTCCTCCTCTCTCCCTGGCTTTTTTTTTCTTTCTCTGTCTCTCTCTGTCTCTCTCTCTCTCTCTCTCTTTCTCCCTCTCTCCCTCTCTCCCTGTCTTTGTCTCTGTGGGCTCATAGGGCGAGGCCTGTCTTGATGCCTTGAAGCTCGGGGGCGATGGCAGCTCCCCAGCGGGGGGGGAAATAGCGCTGATTTTCCAAAGCAACCGAGCAGGGAAGCCGAGGGCGTTTTCTTTTTCTTAACACAAGGGCTCTGCGAAGGCCCAGTTTCGTTTAGCTTGGGTTTTGGTTTTGGTTTTTGGGTGATCTGTTTCTTAGTGGGTTTGTTAACTTTCGGGTTCAAGTCTGAGCCCAAACGGTAAAAGTCCTTCACCCAAGAGCCCTGCAGCCCAGGCCCTGCACCAGACAGGTGGCAAAACAAACTCTGTTGGCCGACTTAGAACCAAAGCCCTTGAGCACCTAAAGCCCCTAAAGCCCCTTCTAAAGCCCCTCAGGCCCTTAAAGCCCCTTAAAGCCCCTTAAAGCCCCTTAAAGCCCCTTAAAGCCCCTTAAGGCCCCTTGAAGCCCCTTAAGGTCCCCTAACGCCTCCTTAAAGCCCCTATAAGCAGAGAGACCAGAGAGCTTGGCTTCCTTGTGACCGGCTTGCTGTTCAGGCATCGCTTGCGTGGTTGCCCTGTGAGGGGAGAAAAGAGGGCTGCTTTGGGGGCTGTATGGGGAGTATTTAATGTTAGGGGTGGTTTTAATATTAGGAGGTGTTGAGGGCTGCTGTGAGGGCGCTTTGCGGTGCGGACGCTGGCCACGCAGGGTTGGGCCGCCCAGCGAGCGTTTGTGTGCCCATGAGGATGACGGCCCCCTGACCCCTAAACCCGGAAGATGGGCTAAGCCAGACGTGCCCTGCGGAGGGGCTTTCAGTCAGCTCCCTAGGCGGGATGCAAATAAAAACCCTAAACCCTGAACCCTAAACCCTGAACCCTGAACCCTGAACCCTGAACCCTGAACCCTGAACCCTGATTCCTGAACCCTGAACCCTAAACCCTGAACCCTAAACCCTAAACCCTAAACCCCAAGCCAAAAAAGGCCTCGAGCCAAAAAGGCCTCCCCGACTGCAGGCAGCTTCGGAGAGGTGCCGCCCATCTCGCCAAGCTCCCAGCCCCTCGTGCCGCATCTTACTCGTGTGGGATGTTTAGGGTTTAGGGTTTAGGGTTTAGGGTTTAGGGTTTAGGGTTCATGGGCAGAACGGCGAGAGAGGACTCTACAGCTGAACGCGGGATGCAGGTTCTGATGTAAGCCCCCAGCAGGAGTTTCTCGTAGAGGCTAGATGCCCAAGAGCCCCACTTTGAATCCGCTGGCTGAATTCGTCAACGGCTGAGAAGGATTATCAGTTCCGCGGCAGGCTCTTTTCTCTAAGCCAAGACCAATTTAAACCTCTGAAGCCGGGAGCCCGCAAAGCAAAGCTCTGCCGCAGGCACTCGGAGGCTTCGTCGATTGCCCGCGTGATCTGCGATGGCATCCTGTCTGCCATGAAGGGGTGGTAAGCTACAAATCCTCGCTGCCCCTAAAGCCCTTCAACATGCAATGGCTGGGGAAATCCTCAAGTCATCTCACGTCCCCCGCCTCTGAAATTCAGAGAAGCGTGTCGACTGCAGCTTTGGGGGGCCCTAGACTCACATGCACAGCTGGGAAAAGTCCCCCCCCCCCCCGCGGCCTTCGCAAGCAAGGCTCAGAATGTTCTTCGGGAAGTGCGGCCGCCTTCGCAGTGAAGGCCACGGGGCTAGTCGGGTTTAAGGGCCCAGTGGGGGATGTAACAGCCATGTGAGCCCCGACTTACGCGCGTTCAGGATTCCGGGCACACGCGCTTTGGTGGGTGGTTTATCGAAGGATGGAATCTACGCCCAGGCGCGCCTGGTGGCGGCGGATGTGTGAAAGGCGTGGGGGTGGAATTCAGGACGTGATGATGCCTTAACGACACGCACTGGCTGTGCCTGATCAAGACACTTGCCTTGTTTTTTGCTCTACCTTGCAATCTCCTTGCTGTTTTGGGCCCGGCTAGAGGTAGCTAGGTTGAGGACCCTGCGCGAGGGAGCCTGCTGAGGCATCCAGAGATGTGCAGACGGTCACTGCAGGTAAGTGGTAGACATGACGTCGCCACATGCGTACGATTCACGTGGGATCCCCTACAGCTTGTGACATCCTATCCGCAGTAGTCAAGCAGTCCTTCTGAGAATTCCACTCCAAAAGCTAAGATGCTCATCTCAATGACGCGACAGGGTCTCGTGCGTGCGTCTGGCGGACACAAAGGGTGTCCGTGATTCTCTGCTTCCACAATAGCGAGCATCCGGGGCAAAAAGCCGTCATATGCAGTTCTATATTCATAAAGTATAACTGAGTGTGCACATGTTGCATGTCAGCCGCTATATGCCCCATACGCATACAACCAGCGCGCGCTATGCGCCCAATGATGGCACCTCCATGCCCTGAGCCAAGCCCCCAGGCTGGCCCTAAGCCCTAAACCCAAAATGCACGTGCAGTGCGGGTCGAAAACACTAAACATTAAACTTAAGGCCCCCAAATCCAAGGGCAATCATGTGGGCACCTCCTTCAAACTTCTAGGGGCCCACACCAACAGACCATGTAGGTACCTTAAGTCAAAAGACAAAACCCCCAAAACCCCCAAATCAGCGGAACCCCGGATGCTCGGAAAGCCACGGCACCACGAGGGCCCCCCCCCTCCTTTTTTTGCGAAAGCTACGGGGGGTTAAGGTTTAGGGCTTTTAGGGCTTAGGGTTTAGGGTTTGGGGTTCAAGGCAGTTTACAGTTTAGGGTTTAGGGTGTAACGCAGCGTGCAGTTTAGGGTTTAGGGAGGGCAGTTTGCAGTTTAGGGTTTAGGGTGCAAGGCGGTTTAGTTTTCGGCCGACCACGCAAAACTGAAGCTTCTCGGTGGGCTGTGTAGAGGCTCACCATTGGGATGTCCTTATACTAACAGTCCCTAACAGGGATTATAAGCAGGGGGTACTATAATCCCCAATTCAGGGGCTGCTAGCAGAAGAGGGAGCATCCCAAATCATCCCTATCAACGATTGTTCGTACAAGGGGGAACATCGCAAGGGTTCACCATCTCGATGGTGGCTTGTGGTGTTGGGGGTTGATTAGCCTCGGGGGAGCACTGGAGGCCCTGACAGCAACAGCTTTCACCGGGGTTTAGGGTTTAGGGTTTAGGGATTGGGGATTAGTGTTTCGGGTTTAGGGTTTAGGGCTATGATCGTTGCAAGTAATACTTGTTTTAGCGGCTTCTGTAAGAGGAGGAGGCTGCAGTGAGGTCGAGGAAGGCCCTCTTGCCAGTTGCGTTGCTGCCACGGGGGGAGAGCTGCCTCGTCGGAAATAGGTTTCTGGGCACGGGGGGTTGACAGCAGGGCCCCTTTTTCTTGCGGAAATGTGCGACCTTGCAAGCTTTGCTCAGTACTTTGGAAATGCAGGTGGCCCCCTAGAGGTGTTGCTTCAGCCTTCGGCTTCTGCCCCTCCAGACCCAGCCACGTGCTTGTGGGCGGCACTTGGGTGCCGACTCCCCTTGGTCGCATTGAAGTTGCTGAAAACAAGAGCTGCCAAGGTTGCCCCTAAGCCGCCCAAAGCCCCAAGTCCTCAAGGCTAGCTTGGGGGCAGTGCCTGAGAATCTAAGCCCATCCTCCCACGTGCCTGGAAAGGAAGGGATCCCTTCAAGCCCCGAGCGCGCGAATGTCCGGGTTTGGGTGTGGGTGTTGGTCACAGACATTTGTGTAAAAGGCTGCGAGGCGGCTTCACTAACATTAGAGGAGTTGCTCCAGGGTGGACAGGAGCCAAAGACCCTCTGACAGGATCATCGCGGGCTTCCTGGAACAAGTCCTACTTGAAGGTTTATGGATGTTTTAAGTAGAATTTCCCCGACTGATAACCCCGACTCTAACTTCTCTAACAACCCGTGAACCTCCGAGTAGTCCCTGTTGCGTGTTAAAAGGGCGGTCGGGGACCCGGGGATGTGGAAATCTAGAGCCCCGGGGCGACGCTCGCGAACATCCGTGAGCGAACGCCGAAAGAACAGCATAAGACGGTGAAGGGGACGGCCAGACTAAGCTTGACAGCATCACATGTGACAAGGTTTTCTTGGCAAAGCCCTTTTGTGACTCCTAAACCCTAAACCCTAAGCCCTAAGCCCTAAGCCCTAAGCCCTAAGCCCTAAGCCCTAAGCCCTAAGCCCTAAGCCCTAAGCCCTAAGCCCTAAGCCCTAAGCCATAAGCCCTAAGCCCTAAGCCCTAAGCCCTAAGCCCTAAGCCCTAAGCCCTAAGCCCTAAACCCTAAACCCTAAACCCTAAACCCTAAACCCTAAACCCTAAACCCTAAACCCTAAACCCTAAACCCTAAACCCTAAACCCTACCCCTAAACCCTAAACCCTAAAGATTTGCATTCCGAAGCCTAAAAAACCCCAAACCTACCAAAAACGAGAGCCCCTTCCAGGCACTGCTCGAGGAGCAGCGACGCTTTGCGGAACGCCCTGCAGCGAAGCTCGGGCGCGTGTGAGATGTTGGGCGGGTTTAGGGTTTAGGGTTTAGGGTTTAGGGTTTAGGGTTCAGGGTTTAGGGAAGTAGAGGATTCAGGGGCTTGAGGGTTTGGGGGCTTCGAGTTGAGGGCTTCAGGTTGGCAGAACTGGATGGTAGACAACATTTCTTCTCATCGTGTGAGGTCTTGTACCCTAGGGCTAGGATCCCTGATAGAAAATGCACAAATTCCCCTTTATCTACTTTCCCTACTCCAGCAAGAGCTTGGCTAGCACAGCTGCAACACCTCCGAGCAGATGCAAACCTGTCCCCTGAGACGGCTGATCTCCGGCTGGTTCTGATACAAGTCCTTGACACATTAGTAAGCCAATACGGTCACGTTAGAGCCCCTCAAGCCCGCAGACTAGCCAGTTCTGGGCTGTCTGCACAACGAGTGCTCCACCCCCGAGGACCGCGGTGCGCGCGCAGCGCCCGGAGGGGTCGCAGAAGGCTAAGGCTCGGAGGGTGGAAGGCTTACACATTAAAAATCTGTATATATGTATGTATGTATGTATATATATATATATGTGAATATGCTGTTTTGTCTATATATATATATATATATATACATATCTGTTTATATAGTTATGATCCCCCCCCCCCCACCCCCCCCCACCCCCCCCCCCCCCCGGCCCCCCACCCCGGCGGCCCCCCCCCCCCCGGCCTTTCCCCGGCCCCCCCCCCCCCCACCCCCACCCCACCCCCCCCCACCCCCCCCCAACCCCCCCCCCCCCACCCCAGGCCCCCCCCCCGGCCCCCCCCCGGGCAGCACCACCCCCCCGGCCCCCCCCCCCCCCCCCCCATGGGATGGCCCCCCCCCCCCACCCCCAACCTCCCTAAAACCCCAAAACCCTAAAACCCTGAAACCCTAGAATCCTAAAACCCTAAACCCTAAACCCTAAAACCAACCCACAACCATACCACAGGTGGGGGGGGGGGAAGCCCGCACCCGCAGTACATACACAAAAAAAAAAATATATATATATATATATACATATGTATATATATCTATATATATATATATATGTAGTCAGATAGATTTTTCAGCATATTCACATATATACACACACACACACACACATTGGGCTTTGGGCTTCCATCGTTGTCTGTTGTGTTGAGGACTAGACTTTCGGGTGCAGGGTCTATGCTTGTGGTCCCTACAGCTACGACTACAATATGCTCGCCCACGGCGGTGGGTGGCTGCCTTAGAGCAGGGCCGGGATGAGAAGGAGGGGTGTGTAGGACCTGGCACTAAGAGGTTGGAAAGAAGCTGCGACTTCAAAGTTTAAACGTGTCTTCGGCCACCATGAAGCCCCTATTTACCCCCCTCGTGCCTGGAACCTCTGAAGTTTGTGGAGGTTTCCGAGGGGAAAAAAAGGAAAAAACAAAAACAACACCCCAACTACCCAAGTTCCTGAAACGCGAATCTGTTGAATGGGCTTCGGCATTTGGACCGAGAGGTGAAGCCCAAGGCCTCCCTGTTCAAGCAACTCCGACAAGGCGGGTCTGGGGTCTTTGGGCACGTTGTGGGGTTCAGGGACTTTGCGTTTGGGTTCTGCTGAGTTCTGTTGAGGGATGTTGGGGTTTAAGGTTGTGCGCGACAGGATGTGGACCTAACCTAAAGGATGGCCCCCTTCAAATCGGATTGAAACACGAATCCCAAGCCTGGCAGAGAACTTCCAAAAAAATCATGTGGAGAGGGGCGACGCCAGAGTCCTCGAAGTCGTTGAAGGCTCCGCCTGTACAACCCTGCTTGATCGTGCAACCGACTCCCTGCTGCCAACAGCCTCCCCGGTTGTAACCAGTTCAGCTTCCCGGTCGGTGTCCCGGAAACCGACATGGGGCGTGCTTGGAGGTCTCGCCGCCGGCGCGCCCTCCTCGGGTGGCAAGCCCTATGGTGCCCGGAGCTTGGATCTGGGGGTTTCAGATCCTTTGCCGCCTAACTGCCCCCTTTGGTGGGGTGCTTGTTGCGCTTGCCGGCAGTTTCTTTTTTGGCCGAGCCCTTGAGCGCATGAAGCTTCCAAGGCCTTTCAGAGCCTCGCTCCGCCTATGAACCCAGCACCTTCAGGATTCCGTGTTGAGGACCCCGACTGGAGATACTCCAAACCCTAAACCCTAAACCCTAAACCCTAAATCGAGCCCTGTCTAAGTCTTGCGGCTCGGTATTTGTAGGGGTTGGGGACTCAAGGTTGGATTGATGCTGGGCAGCCTCCGGGCCGTCGGGGAGGGGGAGAGTTTAGGAGCTCCGTGCTTTGGGGTCTTCTCAGGTGGTCTTGGCGAACATCAACCCCCACCCCTCCAGCCACTTCCCAGTCACTCTTGCAACCCACAACCCTTGTTTTCGGGCCCATTACTTACCGTGAATACTGTTGGGTTAGTTATGGGTCAGTGCCACTTGCCTGTCTTTCTGCACGTGCCCACCCCAGCCATATCGGGCCGCAAATTCGCGGGGGCGGGGGGGGGGGGGGGGGGGCCCAAGGTCCGAGCTGCGGCCCCGCATCCGGAGATTGCCGCGCTTCCGGAGCTGGAAGGCCCCTTCTGAGCCCTGAACCCCAAAGCCGATCAGAACCCTAAAGTAGGCCGGGAACTCGTGCTGAGAACACGGTGAGGCTCAGAGCTCCTTTTGTCAGCCCAGTTCATGGTTTTTGGTTTGGGGGTCCAGCATGTTCCAAACCCTGGCCCCTGAACTTGGACAGGGTTAGGGTAAACCCTAAACCCTAAACCCTAAACCCTAAACCCTAAACCCTAAACCCTAAACCCCAATCAAGACCAGGCGACGAGGCGGAGGAGCTGGGCAGCTGCCTTGCTGCGGAGGTGGGTGGACTAACTTGAGCAACTGGATACTATGTTTTGGACATGGATGGTAAGTTTGTGGCGAGGGATGGCATGAGGGTTTTAGTCGCAGGGGGAGCTAAGGCTTGCAAATGAACAACAGTGGCTTGCAAGAGAATACCCAAGCCGGCCTAAACACCTGATGCAAGGGGTCGTGCACGAAGCTTAGACGCCTATTCCTTCGAGGAAGTTTGACAGGGCGGCATGCCCTCCCTCCTGTTCGATCGCGATTTTTCATTACCTTCTCCCGCCTCGAGAAGAGTCCAACGCCTTTGACAAGTTTTTCGGGGGTCGCTGCTGGTGGGAGCCTATGCCAAATAATGTCCCGCAGTGCTCCACTTCTGGTCCCACCGTCACAGCACAGTCGCGGCGAGGAGAGGCCCTTGTGAGGAAGCTCGCGGCCAGGCAAAAAGAGGGTCGGGGAACCCTCGGAATCCCTCGCGGACCCTGCGAAACCCGAAGTCCGAAGCTTTGTGAACCTCGATGCGAAGCCGTGAGGCAATTTCGAGTTACCCGGCAAAGGTGCATCTGCCCTGAACCCCCGTTTCACTCCCCCCTAAAAGCCCCCGAGCCCTGTCACTCCTGGACCCATGATTTCTAGACATTCCCAGACATCCCAATATAAACCTCTGTGCAAGCCCAAGCCCAAGAAGCTCTAAACGTTTAAAGCAGGTGGCCGAGCGGTCCGCCCCTGTCAACCCTGCGTCTGGAGCGGAGGCACTCCCTTGTGTAAGGAGGGCAACCAGGGTTTAGGGGTGAATAGAATACGGTTTATGTAGGGTTGACAGGGGGGTTCAGGGTTTTTTGGCGAGTGGGGGCTTAAGATTCAGTGTAGGGTCGAGGGGGCTGTGTATCGGCCCTTGACGAGGCCTGCAGACGACACTGCAGGACCTAAAATCTCGGGTCCAGAGCTCCTGCTTCGAAAGTTTCAGGCGGCAGCGATCGGCGAGACTACTGGCCGAAACCCTCAGCTGTCAATGGCATGGTGTTGGGAACCCACGTTGAAAAGAGACAAATAATGTGCTCCTTGATAGAGGGTTGGAGGGGTTGGGAGGGTTGCAAACCCTAAGCCGCGCAAGCTGCGATGCGGCGTGAGATGGCGTGAGTTTGGTGGTTTGGGGCCGGGCCCACCACGCAGAGATGGCCTGGCAAGTAACGGGCCCGCCACTCTGCACCCGAAGCCCGAACGCCTAATAAGCCAAATGACCCTAATACGTCTGTGCTTGCTTTAGTGTCCCCTCCCCCCCCCCGCTCCCCCCCCCTCCGCTTTCCCTGAACAGTTGAAGCTGCTTGTGTCCCTGCTTTAACGGTCCCGGGCTTTTGTTGGTTTTAAAAGGGATGAGTTTACATGAGTTTAAAAGGGACAGAGACGCCCGGCAATTGATTTTAAAGGTGCGCCGCTCGAAGCTTTTAACAACACCAAGACTTGACTTAGTTGCGGGCCCCTGCACCCCCAAACAGTGAACATTCACACGGTCCTGAATAGCCCGGCATACTTTGACTTAATCCAGGAGGCCCCCATTAAAAGGGCACAACCTTACCCGGATTACTCTGATAACCCTGCGGATTTACCCTTACTTCCCTAAACCCTAAACCCTAAACCCGGAGTGATCCCAGAGGGGGTCTGCTAGGTGGGTGGCAAAAAAACCCCAAAATGATCCGATACCCCCTCAACTCCGCGTATGCAGGGCGCCTTTGTCGCCCCGGAGCAGGGCTTCCCAATCGCCAACCACCGTGCCGACCCTCGCCTGCGTGTGTTAGAAACCCCAAACCCCAAAACGCAAACCCCAAACCCTATTCCCTATTATTCCCTAAACCCTAAACCCTGAACCCAGAACCCTGAACCCTGAACCCTGAGCCCTGAACCCGAAATCCGACTGGCAGCCGAGACCCCAAACCCCTGACGGTTCTTGCGGTTTTGGGTGTTTGCTTTTCTTGTTTTGGTTTTTCTGTAGGAGGCCTTGAGAGGTTTTGGTGGTTGGCTTTCCTCCCCTGGGCCCTCAAGAGCCAGGTCCTACGACTCTTGTAGCTGGTGAGTTTTTTGTGTTTAACCGCTCTGGAAATTTGTTCGGATTGAGATCCTTCCGGACCCGCTCATGTCTTTTTAAGCCGCCCTCGTTCAAACAACGCATCACATCATTGTCATAGACGTTTCATGATTATTTTAAATCTCATACACTTCTAGACATATATTTATTCATTTGTTTGTTTAATTGTTTTTCATTAGTTATACTTATTTTGGGGGCAGGTAGGGTAGTCCTTGTTGTGTTCAAGCTGTTGTTTTGTTGTTTACCGTTTGTTGTTCACGTATGAAAACTTGTCAACAACATTATTTTCACATGTATGTCCTTCTGGGTGGAGTACTCTCCGAGGCCACTGCTTAAGCCCCACGCTTGCAATGGTTTCTCGACCCAGGTTGGGAAGAGTCTGGGTTTCGGTACTTCGCGACCCTCCCGTGCACCGCGGGGGGAGCCGGAGAAGGCACCCGAGAACGAGGACGAGCGTCGCACAGGGCGTGGGTTTAGGGCTCTTCTTGCTCGGCGTTGAAGCTGCCGACTCGCAATCGGAAGAGGCGCTGGCCGCTGGCGTACTTCATGGTTTCGTTCTGGTTCGTGGGCTCTTCTGTGCTTTCAAGTGCTGAAGCTCTAAATACATAAGCCGCAACAAGCGAGGACGCCAAACATTTTTGTCGTCTTCCATGGGTTTTATGCTTTGTCAAGGGCCAGGGTTTCAGATGTTCAAGTAGCTCAGATATGTTTCTATAGACGACTTTCGTCCAAGAGAAGTGGCGACGGCTAAGTGTGTTTCAGTCGCCAGATTCAAAAAATCAGCACAAAAGCTAAAGCCCATGATGGGACTCCATGTGCCCTGAGGCCCCACAGACTGCAATCCCAGAATATTCCTGAAGCCGCCTTCCCCTCCTGAGCACGCCCTACACGTGAACTCATGTATAAACCTACCCTAAACCCTAAACCCTAAACCCTAAACCCTAAACCCTAAACCCTAAACCCTAAACCCTAAACCCTAAACCCAAAATTCTGCCTGCGGTTCGGCCAGCTATGCGGGAGCGAAAAAAACCCTAAATTTCCAAACCCTAAACCCTACACACACACACCCCAGGGCCCCAACAACACCTAAGCCCCGATCAGCCCATGCAGCTTGTTCAGAAGCCAGACAGGAGGAGGCCATCGACCAGGAGAACCGGCAAACTCTGCAGAATGCCACGCCGGAAGAGGCAGGGTTTGAGGTTAGGGTTTAGGGTTTAGGGTTTAGGTTTAGGGTTTAGGGTTTAGGGGGGACATGGCCCACCTCTTTGTAAGACGAAGCCTGTCAGAGACATCGAGGGGTGACGCTTAGGGCTTAGGGGAGTAGTGTGAAGCTCCCAGATATTTCGGCCTCAGTCACCGAGTATCCTGAGTCCGCCAGGTTTTTGGCTTCCTTTCTTTTCCAGTGCTTTGAGATAGGGAACCACTGAAGAGACCATGCGGCTACTTCTTCCAAGCAGAACGCCTCTCCTCTTGCAACAGACATTCCTTTTTGTTGTGCCTTCACCATGCTCCAAAAAGCAGGTGAAGGAGTGGCAGCAGCAGTTGCTGCAGCAATTTGGGGCTGAGACGTGCCACTCGGCGTGAACTCAACGCCCTCTACGGCCTCAGCGTTTGGGGCCATGCTTCGATCCCATGAGCCCGCAATGAAGCCGATTGGCTCCCAGTATCGTAGCATCTCCATTTTTGTGAGTTTTTTGGGACTCCCGGGCTGAGCACGGGAGCACCGAACGCCTCAAGGCGCCTTGAGGCAGCCTTCCCCCCAGGTCTCCCCAGGCATTGCTATGCCGATTTGGGAAATCGTCGGCGGCGGCGAATCAGGTGGCATCGTGGTCCGCGAGGGGCGTGAGTTGAAGTCGCCCCAGGAGCCCGAGCGGCTGTCCACACGGGCGCTTGTGGAGGAGTTGGAGCTGGTGGGAGACCGGCTGCACTACCGTCTTCAGACTGGCCGCGGGCCCCCAGAAGGATGGATCAGTGTTCGAGTCTCTGGCAAGGAGCTTGCCGTGTGCCAATTCGCAGATGGCCCTCCAACCGGCCCACTGCCAAAATGGACTGAGGAATCAGCCGAGAAGATGCAAGCCTTCCGGGAGAAGCGGAAGATCTTGCCTCCTCCGGTCGAAACACCGGCGCGGCTCCTGAACGCAAATCCGAGAGAGATGCTGCCACCATTCAAGCGGCTAGGCCCGAAAGAGATGGCAGAGATGTCAGTGCAGAACTTGCCAGGCCACTTCTCCGGCTTGAAGTTCCCGCACAATGTGGAGCAACTCAAAGATTTCGGGCCTTCGTGGTACACGCAGGCATTTCACAAGTTCGGGACGCTTCCACTGGACAACAGCGTGGTGAAGGTTTCATGGGTTCCCCCCACTACCCCCCTCCATGTGGATTTCTAAGGATAATTAAGCCTAATTAAGGTGATTTAAGGGGGGACCAACCCTAAACCCTAAACCCTAAACCCTAAACCCTAAACCCTAAACCCTAAACCCTAAACCCTAAACCCTAAACCCTAAACCCTAAACCCTAAACCCTAAACCCTAAACCCTAAACCCTAAACCCTAAACCCTACAACCTAAACCCTAAACCCTAAACCCTAAACCCTAAACCCTAAACCCTAAACCCTAAACCCTAAACCCTAAACCCTAAACCCTAAACCCTAAACCCTAAACCCTAAACCCTAACCCTAAACCCTAAACCCTAAACCCTAAACCCTAAACCCATGAAGGTTGTGCACGTGGAGCAGCTCCCGCACTCGGGCTTTGATGCGGCTGGTGGTGCGGGCCACAAGGCCTTCATCGATCTCCAGTACGCAAAGCCAGATCCTTGGTCACAGTGTGGTAACATTTTACATTTTTTAAGGGTGCTTGAACTCAATAAGGAATAGAAATTCAGAATTTTACATGTTCAAGGGCACTAAAAGTCAAGAAAGAACAGAAGTTTAGATTTCTAATGCAATCCCAACCATGAACTACTGGTAGGATCCCAACCTGCACACGAAGCTGTTTGCAAAGTACCCCTGGGACTATTTCGAGTCCGAGACCGGGAAGCGGTATCGGATGCAGATATCTGCCTATGCAGATATGGATTCCGCTGAGCTCCTCACTTCCATCTGCTGTGAGCACTTGTTCCCCTTCCGGATACCCAAGTTACTTAGGGATACTTGGAAATAACATTTTGAATTTTTGGGTGCTGTAATTCCGAAGAAGCAGCTAAAGTTGAGATTTTTGCCAGGCTTCCAAATTCAGTATAGGTTGTATTTTGCCGATATCAATCGAGACACCACCAACTACGTCCTGATTGTAGAGCGCATTCCGTTTGGCAGGCGTGGGAAGGTGGTGAAGGGAAAGATCACAGAGAAGATCGAAAGGAAGCCTTTCGAGATTTTGCCCGTGTGCGGCAAGTACCAGGACTACCTGTTAGAGGATGCCCCTAGCATATATTTCGCGCTCTTCCGCGAGATGGCCCATCTAGCCGCTTGGGATCAGCAAGGCCGCTACGATTCCTTTTTTGGGCCGATGAGCAAGTACACGGAGCAGGAGTATCTGGACAAGGTGATCCGCGTGCGAAAGCCGCAGAAGGAGAAGAGGATTGAAGTTCAGAAGAACGGATGCCTGTCGATGATCGAGAAAGGCATCGACTTCGCACTAAATGTTGCTTCGCAGATCTTCACGCCAGCAGGCAAAAACAAGGGAAAGCTGGAGAAGATGAAGCAGGAGATAGTGGAGATCGCGCCTTATTTTGAGGACATCCGGGCTTACCTGGCCAACTCGAGTGACTGGACGGCGGCAATGCACATGAATCTCCAAGCAGACAACGCTTACTTCTGGCACGACGAGAAAGGGGATCTGGATATTGGAGTGTTTGACTGGTGCGGCTTCAGCCGTACCCCTTTCGTGATGAACTTCATGGGATGTCTCAGTGGCGCTGATGCAGACTTACTTGATGCTCACGAAGAGGGCTTGATGAGAATGTTTTGTGAGGAGTACGAGCGATATGGCGGTCCACACCTGGAGCCGTCTGAGATGCTGCTCAGGTACCATCTACAGTGGCCCTCATTCACGATGGATGCATGCCAGTGGGTGGACAGGGATATCTACGTTCAATGTCCGCGAGAGGAGTGGAGCACAATCAAGACCATGCTCGATGACAAGTTCGTCGATCGATGGAACGTCCGATGCCGCGGAACCACGTTGGTGAATGCTTTCGAGTTTTATCACCGTAGAGATCTAAAAAAGATCTTTGATGATTGGCTTTCTGGACCAGGCAAAGACTACCGGTCTGTCTACAGCGGATAGCAGTGAGGGTAGTGCTTCGACCCCGAGACCTTTTCCATGCGCGAAAATGACGAAGCCCCCCAAAAAGCCCCGAAATCCCCAACACGCGCAGAACCCTCAAATGGTAGGTTGCACGTAATGCTCTCGTGTGTTGCTTGAAGCCCCCGTGTTGCTGTATGGGGTCAGGATAGGTGTCTGAGAAACAAGAGAACAGACAGAAGCTGTTTTATGGGGTGTCAGCTCAACTGAGCATGTGGGAGGCTGCTTGTCAAGTTGTCAGTTTGCGCTCGATGTGCCTGTTATTTACAGATGTTAACAATCACGTCTTTGTTGTTTTCCTGTGTCCTGGCATTTCACATGGCGAAAAAACATGTGTGTCAAGAGAGAAGATGCTGAGGCTGTTTGGTCTGATTTTTCTTAACCCTTCTGTGGGGTGGGACTGGAATCGACACTCACCTGAAGGGTTTTGAGGTTATGAACATTCATCAGGGACCAGCATGCTTGTGGATGCTCTATGTGTTGCCGCTGCGGCCTAGCTGCTGTGGGTGACATTGAGTTGGGTCGGGTGTCTTGCTGATGCAAGTGGTGGGGCACAAGGTGCTTGAGAATGCCTTGGCGGCTCAGATTTCCGCTTGCCATGCCGCTTCAGCACAGTTTCCGCCGTTCCTTTAGTTTTTCAGTTGAAATGCAGATTTTGCAGTGGAGAAGTAGAATTTTATTAGACATCAATGAAACTTAGCATTTTTGCTACGTTCCCTTCAAATCAAAGCACTTTTGATAAGTTTGGATAGTTTTGCTTCATTCCCATTGAAATTGAGCTATTTTGGCCACAGATGCTCAGCCCCAGGCTCAGCCCGGAGCTCAGGATTTTCAGGAGGGACAGGTTGGGGCATCAGAAGGCAGTGTGGTGTACCAAATCCAGAAGGCAACAGAGCCAGATTGTCCGTGAAACAGGCCCGCCAGCACATCTCACCCGAACCTCGGTTCTTTTGGTGCATTTTCGAGTGGAAGAGAGCCATCTGGTATAGGTCATTCTCACCGGAAACTGAGCCCCATAACCCTGTTTTCAAGTGAAAACCCAGTCCCCAACGGAATCCACCGGAATTCACCGGAATTGCTCCTCAGAAACCATGGCCAGACCCCAAATTTGCCCAATTCCCCCTTCTGATGGCCATTTGGCTCTGATTTGGCCTGAATTGCTCTGATTTGGCCTGAATTGCTCTGATTTGGTCTGAATTGCTCTGAAACAGTGCGAAAACCTCATTTCTCGGAGGTTTTCCTTGAAACCTTTTGATTCTTGAGAAAACAGGTCAAAACGGGCGAAAATTGAAAGCCCTTGCACGCAAACAACCTGCCGGCGCCCCCGCCAAACGGCCCTTGGAGCCCAAATTCTCTAAGTACCGGTAGTGTGTGGTGATGAGATCTTTTCTTGCATGACAACACCTCCTCATTGAACTGAACATACTGTTTTAGAAGGATGGAGAGAAGAAAGTGAAAGTGGAGAGTGGAGAGAGCGTGTGATCGTGGCAGCAGCCAACCTGCTCTGCTGAAGCCAAAACCGAAGCCAGCTCTAAGCCTGAAACTCTCCCAGCAGATGTGTCGTGAAAGGAGCCTGCGGATTGCTCGGTGTTCTAGAAGTGGTGGTCTGTTGTTCATGTTGCTCAAGAATTGAAAAGGCAACCTGTGCACCTCAGTCTCCAGTGGTTGGAACCTACAGCTGCTCTTACATGTCCGATGCGTTGTTGCGTTTTGTCTCTGGCCCAACTTTCTTACACTTCCCATGTGTTGTCAACCCTTTTGCACATGCTGTCGCTGCTGTCCTAAATCGGTCTCATTTGAGGGTAGCCCAAAGTCTTTCACGCAACCGGCCACCCTCAAATCCCCAAAGGCCCACCCTGAAATCTCCAAAGCTCCAAAATCCCCAAAGCCCTGCAATCTCCAAACCTTCCCCCCACCCACCAAAATCCCACAGCCTCCCACAGCCTCCCGAAGCCCCCCACAACCCTAGCATCCCAAAGCCCTGAATTCCCACAAACGCTCCCCCAAACCCTGAAATTCCCCAAGAGCCCCCTAAAGCCCTCCAAAGCCCACCAAAACCGTGGCCCAGGAAACTCGACCTCCCGAGTACCTTCTTTTTATACAGCCCAGTAGTGGTACCCTTTACCCTTTTTTGGTTCAAGGTTCCTGAAACCCCTGAAACCCCTGAAACCGCTGAGGTGACTTCCTGCGCCGGCGCGGCGCCGCGAAGCAGCGGCGGGCGGGCACGGCGGCGGGCCAGGCCCCCGCGCCGAAGCGCACACTTTTGCCCGGGGGTTTTTAGGGGGTGGTTTAGGTTTAGGGTTGAGAGTTTAGGGTTTTAGGGTTGAGGGTTGAGGGTTGAGGGTTGCCTGGATTAAAAGGGTGAAAGTTAGTCCAAGGCCTTTCCCAGCCGACTTCACCAGAGAGTCTGGGTTCAAAAAGGGCTTCAGCCTGGTGAAATGGCTTTCAGACTTTCGGGGCTTTGAGGTCACACAAGAACTTAGGGGCTTCGAGGGTTTAGGGTTTAGGGCGATTTGGCGTGCAAGAGCCCAGGATGCCATCATGGCCCCTTTTTGGATCCCTATTGCAATACGGCACCTAGTATTTAGGGTACCCCCCAAAAGGGAATCATCATTTTGAGAACCACCCACATGCGCCAGCCCTGAACATGCAGTTTGAAACCCAGCTCGGAAAAGCGGGAACTCTGCCAAGCTTCCAAGCCGACCTCAAAAGGCCGGGTTTGGGCATGTAGGGCCCTAAACCACCCAAGCCTGGATGCAAAAGAGCCCTAAACCCAAAACCCTAAACCCTAAACTTTAAACCCTAACCCCTAAACCCCAAACCCTAAAAGAGTTGCCATCGCAAACGAAGTCTTAAAGCATCTCCAGGTGGAAGCTGCGGCAGAAGAACTGCCGAAGCCACCAGCCAAGGCCAAGGACTGTGTGGCGCTTTTGTGCTGGTCCGGTTCTCTGGTTTTGTTATATATATATATATGTATATCACCCTTGAAAACAGCCTTAGAGTCTTCAATCCGCACCCCCAATACAGCCCTGTGCCCTGACCCATACATTCTCCAGTCATAAACCCTAGCCGGTTCCCCTTAGTGACAAGGGAATGACTAGACTGTGAGTAGAATTCCTATGCGTGGTAAGTGTGGGTAACCTGGACCCTCAACCCCTAAAAAAAGGTCAGCTAAGGCCCGCGCCATCCAAGATACAATGCTCAGCGAAGGAGCCCCAGGCCACCCTCTCCTTGGAACTTTCCGCGGGTGGCGAGGCGGCAGGGCTGCAGTTTCTGAGAAGGGGACTTAGGGGCTTCTGGGACCTTTTGTGGGGGCTTTCGGTAAAGGGCCCGGATGCCCGCAGCCCCTTGTCAAGCAGAGCGGAGGTTTCCGGCATCCTTCTGGGGCGGAGTATGTCTTGCTGTTCGGGGCCACCCCGAAGTCCTTTGGCTCAAGCATTGAAGATCCGCAGCCTGTGTTTGAAAGAAGCAGTTGCTGAAAGTGGCCCTGCAGCGGCCTTCCCATTATCCAACATATTCGCTTGCCAACACCGTAAGGCATGTCTAGGAGCTTGGCCGCAGTCACTACCTAAGACTCCCTAGGTTTAACCCTAGGTCTTCGGCCCGCAGTTTGCAATCCCGAGCCATCATTCTAGAAAGCCCAGCGATGCATGTGCTTCGCTTGGCACATCGCGCTGGTGCTTGCTCAGCGCGCGTGTTCTCAGGGGTGGCGGCTTTTTCGACGGCACGCCACCGGTCACCACGATGGAAGCGTTACCATCTAGTTGCTTCTGGACAGGGTTGCTCAGCAACCAGTGAAACGGATGACGGGTACAAAGTTCGGTCTGACACTCCGACTTCGGCAGGAGGCACGGGCACGGCTCCACAGCCAGTGCAGCTCTTACTCGCCGCATTGGTGGGTTGCGAGCAGGCGACTGCCCACTTTATCGCCACGAAGCTTCGGCTGCCCCCAATACGACGGATTGAGTTCGACATCCACGCAGAACGAGATGAATGGGGCAGCCTTGCACCTCCTGTCAAGGAGCCGCCCCCCGCTTTGAGTCGACTCCAAAGGATAACCGGCAAAGCCGTCGTCTTCACAGACGCCTCTGAGCCGGAGGTCCAGGCCATCGCGGCCGGCGTGAAATTGCGGTGTCCGGTTGCCAGCATGATCATCGAGTCGGGATGCGAGTTGGATGTCCGTTGGGTGAAGGCCGAGGAGTGAACGGGCATCCTTAGGCTCGTTCATGTCGCAAAACAAGAGGCGGCGGAGCTGCAGATGCTGCCAAAGCAAGCCCGAAGCGCCTGAGGCCCGAAGCTGCGGAACAAGAACCATCAAGAACTCCTCACCACTCAGGTGTCTTGTGAAGGTGTGATTTTTCCACAGTTTCCCATGAACTATGGAGGTCCCGCCCCCCCGCCCCTCCCCTTCCCCCCTTCACAAGGGCAAGAGCACAAGAAGGAGGTCCAAATCAGGTTCTCGCCCGTAAGCAACCCCAGGGATTCCGCATATGAGCCCAAGAAAACCATGGGGAAGACTGCACCTAGGGCCTAGGCGACCCAAAGAACACTCGCCCCCCCAGACGCTTGTGGGCGGCCGCCTCGACCGCGCTGAGCTGCAGAAGCTGCAGCACCTTGGCACAGAGCCATGCGTGCTTTGTGTACAAATTTCGGCACAGAGTACCCGGGGGTGTAGGAAGTCGGCTTGTCGGGTTTGCCTTAGGTGGCCGCCACTGTTTGTCCAACTTGTGTGTTTCTTTTTCCATGGTTTCCGGTTCTTGGAAGTCGCGGGCAAGAGAGAGAGAGAGTGGACTTCGCGCGCCCTTTGGGGCAGCCTTCCCTTCGGGGGGGGCTATGCGTGCAGGAGAGAGAGAGAGAGCGAGTCTCACGCCGACTCGAGCTGTGACATCAAGGGTGCACCCAGCGCGCGGAGGTTCAGGGACTTCTGCCCTGTCCTCCATGCCCGGTAGAAGAAGAAGAGCGCGAGAGAGTGTGAGAGAAAGAGAAAGATAAAGATAAAGAGAGAAGAGAAAGTGACAAGTGAAAAGTGAAAAATGAAAAGTGAAAAGTGCAAGGGAAAGAGAAAGAGAGTGAGAGAGGGAGCTATTATCTGATTCTTAGCTGTATGTTCACGCATGCTAGGTGCAGCCTTTTTTTGCTGTGGCTCGGTTGACGAGGCTGCATCGGGTTTTGCGCGCTAGGGTTGCAGTCACATACACGGAGCTGCCTTGGAAACGTCCTTGGAAAGCTGTGTTTTGAGGTGGACCATGCCAGCAGGAGCGCCGGACTTTGAAAAGGTACTCCTTCATTGTGCTTGGACCAGTGTGAAGGGGGAGAATGCAGGCCATGAAGATTAGGCAACAAGTTGTACACATGGGGGTTTCCGAAATTAGGGGTATGGTCCTTATTATCAGGGAATCCTATTTATTGGGGGGGGACTATATTAGGGTCCCTTTTTTTGTCGTACACCCCAGACATATACATGTATCATAGAACAAGTTCACTGCTGGGAAGACGGTCCCGCCCTCATCGGCCAGGTTCTCTCGGATGAGAGTCTCCCGCCAGAGCCAGCGGGGAAGGCGTGGCGGCTTTGCGCGGGGGTTCTTGTCTGAGCCCTGTCACCCCGCCGGCGGTGCACAGGAAGAACACCCCAAGCATCCTCAAGCCCCAGACTTATCTTACTGACTTCAGCACAACGCTCCCTCTCTCCCCTCTGCCCCTCCCCCAGGTGTTCCTGAACTTCCCCACAAACCCTGCTACGCTCTAGGTCTTCGAGTGTGCAGTTACCGGCGAGGCCTTGCAGCTGCTCCGCTTCGATTTCCTGGGCCGGGTGTGCCTCCGCGCAGGCACCGGGTTCCTGTTCGGAGCAGTGCAGCTTGACGCTCCCTGCTTCCAAACGCTGCGGAAAAAGGGACGGGATGCTGAAGGATTGTTGCAGTGTGGTGGTGCTTGTCAGACCCCACATGTTTGTGACTGGCAGCCTGCCATTGGGATCATGCATGCCATTGTTAGCAACACCTGGGTGGGCAGTGCCTAGTTTGATGAAAAAATGGAGCCCGCAGCAAAGCTTCTTTGTGCATCTTTTCAGCATCTCCTGTTTTTGCACGGTTTTGTTTCGGCGTGGGTTTTTTTGAGGATCGGTGGGGTGGAGTCTGCAAACCCGTTGTGCTGCATTGGCGGAATTGATTCATGATGGCTTCGGCGGTGAAAGTCCATACCCAAGACAGCTTTCGTGGCGTCATACTGCTTGCGGTGCTGCCCAGAGCCTATATACATGTCTGGTGCGCCGCGCGTCGGTCGTCATTGGGTCGCGGTGTCACACACTTCACCTCGCAACCCGGGACTTGCCTTGTTTGGGTTGTGGCACGCAAAATGCCCGGCACCGTGCCGAAAAGGCACACTATGCATGTCAGCTGCAGGCGGAGATGCCGATCCGAAGGAAGAGGAGCTGCCAGGGTCTGAATGCGTAGACACATATATTACGTGTATGCATGCATCTCTAGACATATATATATATATGTATATACATATAGCATTTATTTCTGCATTTGTATTTTTTCGCCACAATTCTGAGACGTGCGGCTAGCTCAAATCCTCGTCGGTTTGCGTGTAGCGAACGCCCCGGTCCCCCCGCAGGCGGCCGACTTGGAGGGACTCCACCACCACGGTGCCGAGAGCCGCCAGGCGTGCTTTTCTTTGCGTGGTTTCGTTTGCTTGTTTAGGGTTTAGGGTTTGGGGTTTAGGGTTTAGGGTTTAGGGTTTAGGGTTTAGGGTTTAGGGTTTAGGGGAGTGGAGCCGTTTTGCCAAAGGGGGTTGAGGGTGATAACCAAGCCTTGGCGGCCAAGAACAAGCAATGCACTCCCGCAAGCTCTGTTGGCGCCTGCGCACAGAAAGAGGGAGTCAGCGCCAGTGACGGCTGCATCGGGTGTAAAACTGCGAGCATGGGTGATGGCAAACTCGCGGGCGCGGAGCAAAAGACAAAGATGGCACCCGGACGCCGACCAATAGGGGCGGAGCCTCCAAAAATGCGCTTGAAGGCAGGCTCAGCGGGTACCTAGAGCCCCAGGTGAGATGCAGGTCGAGAGTGCAACCAGGCACGCAAAACAAGCGACAAGTCAGCGCCCATTTTTTTGCCGGGCGGGCGATCCAACCCCAAAAGCGCCAGGGTTTGTCGACTCTTGCATTATCGAAGTCCGAAACGGTTCGGTGGAACTAAAGGGTCCGAACTCCTCAGCCCGAAGCTTAGCTCCCCTCCTAAGCCCTCTTCTCCCCTGAAGAGCCCTGAATCCCCTGAAGGCCCTTAGGCCCGAAAGCCCAACACCGACCCGCCGAGCCCTTCAAAAGCCAGCGGGAGTCAACCCTAAAACCTAAACCCTAAACCCTGGAAGGCGGGCTACACCCTGGCTGAGCTCCTGATCCTGTCGCGCTCGGCCGCGGCGCCGCAGCGCGCGCTGGCCGGGAGGGGAACAGGGGGGGAAAGGGGGGGGAAGGGGGGAAGGGGGGGACGGGGATGAGGGTTGAGGCAGCTGGGGGCTCCTGTTTTGCCCATTATGGCCTATAAGGTTGACCATTGTGGCATCAAAGGAAGCCTTCTTTGTGCAAGGGACCTTTAGAGGGGGACTTTCGGCTTTCTTCCGAGATTTTTGCCCCTGGCAGAGGCCCTCGCGACTTTGGGCGCAGTCTTGCGCCGGGCACGGGCCAAAGTCGCCCAGGCGGCTGATGGGGGGCTTACTTTGAAGGCTCATGGGTAGCTGTAAGTAGGGTTATAGGTACCCCTAAGAAGGTTAGAACCAGCTATAACTGTAACTATAGTTACCTGAAACCAGGCTATAACCAGCTATAACTCAGAACTCCATTTATAGCTACTCATGAACCTCCGAGTCGGGCGTAGGGTTCAGGGGACATAAGCGAGGTGGGCGAAGTCTCTTGAAGAGGGGGTTGTTTTATTTATGAGGACAAGAGCCTGGGCTCACGAAAGGGGTTTTAGATCCGCTGGCTCTCTGTCGGGGTTTGAGTTGTTCATTTGAGGCATAGTAGGGCCCAAGCTTAAGCCAATTGCCTCCACGTCAAGAACTCGTGAGGACTTCATGTGAGGCCTCAGTTCAGTTGCAGGGGGGAAAGTCTCTAGCAGGTGGGGAGGGGGGAGATGGGTGCGGCTGCCCAAATAAGATCACACACGTGTCTTGGTGGCAGACAGCAGTGCCACCCCTAAGCTTGCACCCCCCCCCAACAAAACACCCAGACCCTACATAGCTGTACTTATAGCCATATTAGGGCACTTAATAGGGGCACTTAAGGGGAGTATGAGTGGGTTCTAAGTACAGTTATAATTGGTTAAAAAGTACCATGAACCCTAGACCCTAGACCCTAGACCCTAAACCCTAACCCAAAACCCTATACCCTAAACCCTAAACCCGAACCCTTCTGGTGAACAAGTGCCCAATGAGCCTCCAAGCATAACCCCAAAAACCGCTCTGAAAGTGCCCGTCGCAGGCCGGGCTTCTCCAGGACCCCGCCCTGTCACTCGCGGGGCTCCAAACGCAGGCCATGTTCGGTTTAGGGTTTAGGGTTTAGGGTTTAGGGTCTGATGTGTTGCTTTCAGAGCCTTGCCTTAGGGCTTCGGATATCTTCTGCGCGGTCTCACTGGCCGATCAAGGGCTTTTTCACGCTTAGGGGTGAAGAGACGCGTGAGGCCGAGGTACTATGGGTGTGCAAAAGAAAGCTGGCAGGCAGCCCCTGCAGTCAGGTTTGCGGCAATGTTTTTGGTTCAAAGGTCAAGCGTCAGGGGCTTGGGCGAATAAGGGGATGCAGGGCGTGGAGTTGAGGCCTCAGGGCTCCAAGAAGGACACGCCTCTAGATGCCTCACCAGCGCACAATCCTGCAACCCACCAACCGCCCCCCCCCCCCCCCCCCCCCCCCCCCCCGCCGCAGCCCGCCCGTCTGGCCCTGTGACACGTCAGCCCTTCCCTTTCCCTCCACCGCCCTCCACAGCCCTCAACAGCCCTCAACAGCCCTCAACAGCCCTCAACAGCCTTCAGCCCTCAGCCCAACCTTTTGGAAGGCCTCCGTCTCCTTGGCCGGCTTTGGGCTCGGGTTGAAGGCGCGTTGAGGGTTTGGGTTTAGGGTTGACGGGATGTCCAGAGGGCAGCTTGGGGTCGCCGGATTTGAGATTCAGGTCGGGGGCCTTCTTTCGGGGTGAAAGGCTCAGAGGCCTCTGTGGTGAGCAATTCAAGGGGGGTGCTTTCCGACCCTAGCCGCCGGCGTAAGGTTTGCAGAACCGTCCGGGGGCTTTCTGGGCTGGAGGCTTCAGGACCTGGCGATTTTGCCCGGTCTTGGGGTTTGGCCGGTAGCTATGTCCGGCTTTTTTTTTTTTTTTTGGGGGGGGGGGGGGGTGGCTTCGAGACTTAAGCAGCCCTGTAAATTTTGGGAGCGTTTTAGCTCAGAGGTTGGAGTTTCCGCAGTGGTCAAGGCAGCCAAGGGGCGGGATCCTTCCACTGCCAACTCCAGACCCGAGCGTCCGCCAGGTGTTCTTCTGGCACGGCCTGGCTCGCAGTGACATCCCGAAGCACTTGGCCGAGGCAGCATAGACTTCCCTTTCAAACGCACCTTTTAGAGGCTGGACCATGGTCCCGAAGCCCCCCCCGCAAACCTGAACCTTACACTGCAACCCCAAAGCCCAAACCCAGTCAGCTAGGTCGGTGGTAGAAACAGCCCTTGAGCCTCCAGAGCAAAAGGGGCTTGCGTGGCGGGGGGGACCATACATGGCACCGAATTCACTGTTTCCTTGCAAAGCATCAGCAAGTAAGCCCCGAACCCGACACCTCCACAACCCTCAACCCGCCCCCCCCTCCTCCCCGCCAAGCCCAAAACTTCAAAACCCCCAAATCCCCAAACCTTCAAACCCCCCTGAACCCTGAAATTTCTCGTCGGCGGCTCTCGAGGCACTGCGAGATCCCGTGCAAGCGGCCGGGCGGCCCAGCAGTAGCTCCGTCTCTGGGGCATACAGCCCTCCAGGGTTCTCTGGGGATGTTATCCTAAACTCATGTGCCTAACGCACCCAAATACTAAAAAAAGCGTACCCGTATTTTCGGAACCCCTTTTTTTTTTTGTTTGGGGGGGGGGGGTTTCAAAGGTTTGGTTCTTCACGGCTTCACGGTTTCAGGGTCTGGGTTTACGCCGCTCTCGGGCTGCGACATGATCGAGGAACCTCACCGAGCTTCTTGTAAGGCTTCACAAAAAGTTGTTCACATCTCAATTGTATTCATGAGCTCTCTGGTTCGCTTAGCATACAATTAATATGCTCGTAAAGCTTCACAAAAAGTTGTTCACCAGATAGTTCACAAGCCTGGAAAGTTGTTGATTATTGAAAGTGTGGGCTCATGATGATCTGCGTCCTGAGGGGCAAACAGCCGGAGAACCTAGTGAGCGTCATTCTCTTTTCCCCAACACATGTGAGACTTTTCTTCTACATTGCTTTGTGAGCCTGGGGTGCGCGCCAGTGGTGCTTCTGCAGCCTGGCAGGTTGTGCAGTGCGACCGTTGAAAAATAAGAGGGCTTCTTGTGCTAGGCGCGTCCAGCTTGTATTTCACGTGCGTTAGCTCCTTTTTCAAATTCTGTTGGAGGCATGCGCCCACGCACCTGAACAATTGTTGTCTGAGGTGCAGTTGGCGGCCCTCCGTGCCACAGCAGCATTGCTCGATGGCGGCGAGGCGCCAGCAGGTTGATGGGGGCTTGGGCTTGGGAGCCCTAGGTTCGAAGGCCTCAGCCCTATGAAGATATCAGAAGTGGCTACTTGCCATTTCACACTACACATGTCTTTGAATCCATGACTCAATGATTCAGTTATGATCATTTCCGTTTTCTCAGCCTTCTCATTGCTTCAGAAGTGCTATTTTTCTGCGATTGTGCGCCAACGTTAACCTAGTTTCAGGTGACGGCGCCCCTAGGCGCCCTGCGTTTGGGCTACATTTTTGTCGGGTTAAGGGTCTTGGGGGGGCGGGGGGGGCGGGGGGGGGGGGGCGAATAGTCATTACGGCTACTATATAGAGGTAACACAGCTACTCTTATTATCGTTACTTTCACACTATGATTGCTATACCATCATTATTGGGATCTTGCTTCTTAGCATGTTTTTGTTTCTATTGATACTATTATTACTATGGTTACTTTTGCTATTGGTGCTATTATTACTTTTCTTGCTATCATTTGCTCCCAGTAGAAGTCATATTGTTGCCGTTCAAAAAGTCGTATATTACGACTATGTTCCCTTTAACTCTAACTCTTACCCCTGCTACTGCATTTGCCGCTGATCTTTCAAGTCAGAGCAAGACTTTGCAGGTAAGTGGAGGAGTTATCCGCGGAGATGTCGCGGATGGCGACGACCGGGATGAGACACTAGAGGAGGTTGCACCATGCATGTGAGAGGGAGCTGCGGTCTAGGGTTTTCACTCTTGCTCCTAGGCGTTTGTACCTACAACTGAAGGGGGGCAGTCCTTTTGAGAACGGTCTAGGACCAGCTAGGGTCTTAAATAAGTTGTGGCTGGCTATGTTCACCATCACTGCATTGGGCAAGAGGGCATGTCTTTCTCCGATCAGAACTTTTGCACGTTACTAGGGTGGCCCCCAGACACTTTTTTGAGGGTGCTGGGCATCATTCCAATGCATTCTCACACAGGCTGGCGGCAACGCTTTCGTTTAGGGTTAGGCCGTTAAGGGCTCGGAGTAAATGCAGGATGCTTCAGGGAGTTTGGAATGTTCCTGAACGAACAGAAGCAATCTGCGCCTAACAAATGTGTACAGCCGAACGATTGCGTGCTCCACGAAGCTCCTATGAAGTCACTTTCCTGACGGTGTAGGGCTCCGGGGTTCGGGGGTGAACAATGAACAAAAAACAAGGCTTCGGTGTGTCAGGGGTGCTGGGGGTAGGCTACAGGCTTTGCCTAGGTCTCCTCCAGGCACAAGGGCCGGGTTGACCAGAAGTTCATGGGCCCCTGTCAGTGCGGCTGCAAGAAAGTGCAATGGACTTGTCTGACGCAGGCCCAAGTCGGTCCCGGAAATAGGGGCTCGCATTAGCCGGGGATGCATGAGGCTGCGGCTGCCTGAGTGCCACCACGACATGGCAACCGACAACATGCGAAAACAAAGGCTTTCTTGAACCCTGGTGCCCTTAAACAAGTAGCAGCGCATCAGCGCCAAACCGGAAGAAGCCCTAGGTCCTAGGCCAACCCCGAGATCCCTAAAGCAAAGGAGGCAGCCTCTCACGGCCCAAAGTCCATCAGCCGCTGGAAGCTCCAACGCTCGTTTGGGGAAAAGCTACTTCTCAGACCCATGCTCCGTCTGTGCTGCGGCCGCGACCCACGGCTGCAGGTGCCGCAGCTCCAGCATTAGTTTCTTAAGAATATTGAATTGATATCGGCAAGTAGGGTATCTTGTGCAAGGCCAGGCCGGCTTCGGTTAGGCGTTTGCGGCTTGAAGGGCTTTTTGAGCTCCGGGAGTACCAGGCATCCGGCTTGATATTCTGCAGTTCCCTTGTCGCGCACGCGCGAAGCGACACCTTTCAGACATAAGAGCTGCGCAAATGACAGTCTCTCGTGAGACCCGCGTCAGAAGGTTTGAGCCCTCAAGCTCCTCAGACAAAGGACCAGAACTCCCCGAATTCGAATGTCGACCAGCTTGGGACCTGACAATGCCAAACGCTAAACAGGAAAAACAATCTCAGCAAGCAAACGCGTAATCAGAAGAACGCTCTGCACCAATGAGAAGACTGTGAATGAGAACAAAGTACGGCTCACCAAGAGCACGGCGCCAGCTGTGTATACATGTCTACGCTAGCAACGCCAATGGCAACTTCCACGTTGCCATGGACCGCATGAGCACGTGCATGCGTCTCCAGAAGCGCAGGTCTACCCAACATGCTGCCAGAGGGACCGAGTAGTAGCTTGCTCGCGGCAAGTTTTCTTCGCGGCAAGATGGTCGAGAGGTGTTGGGTTTACCATTCAGGTCTCGCGGCGGCTTTCGAGGCTGCCAGTCTGGCGAGACGGATGCGAGCAGTACTGCTTCTGACAGCCGCTTGTTGCAACCCAGACTCTCCTGACACCCTGACCCTGGGGCTGCGAGGCAGGTGGCAGAAGACCTTGGGAAGTCTCCAACCCCTAAGGCCCACTTAACCGGCTGCTTTTACGACTTAGTGTTCAGGCCCTAGGGGATCTGGGGCTTTGAAAAGTGCCGAACAATCCTTGCTGACAGTTTAATGCCATCCAACAAGGCTCTGCAGCTACCAAACCCCCCCTTTTTTTTCCCTGGCCCCCATGGCTCCTGGGCCCCGTCCTGGCCCGCCAATGCCCTTCCTGACCCCCCTTTGTGCCTGGCCTTGGCCCCTGGCCTGGCCTCCCTGGACCCCTGAACAAAAAACCCAAACCCGGAATAGAACCTCAAGACCTGAAGACCACAGGTTCTTGCTTCCTGCTCCGCCGCGGAGCTGGCGATCGGCGTCCTCGCGCCGCTATCGGAGCAGCCCGAGCCGAACCAGGGCTTCTTGTAGAATTTGGGCGGGACCCAGGTGGTGCCGCCTTTTTGTTTCCCTCTCCCCTGTGTTTGAGGGTACCTCAGGGGTTCCTTCATACGCCCCCAAAGAAAGATGGAGTTCCTTCAGTTCCTTCTCCCCGCGTGGGCCGGGGGTTGTTGGGGTGCAGGGTTGAGGGCGCCAGAGGATATGTTCGGGGAGCTCCCGGTTGCTTTCTGCGCGAGACCTCTCCAAAAGGGAGGCCGATACCCTTCGAGTTATAGGGAATGTGCCTGAAACCCAACAAGGGGTCCAGACTGCAAATTCAGGAATATTCAGTAATGAGATACCGTCGTGGGCTCTTTGGGTCAAGGTCCAGAAGCTTCATTGCTGCCTTAGCTGCCCTGGACCTTGACCTGCGCAAGCACTACGAGGCGAGCTGCAATGTCTCGGCTTCGGATTCTCCTGCCGGTGGTTTTGCTTGAGCACAAGCTGATGGTTGAGTTTTCGGGATTCGGGGTTGGGGCTTAGAAGGCCCAAGGTCTATGAGTTTTTGCTGTGGCTTTAGAGAAGGGTTTCGGTTCTTTTGAGCTTGTTTCGGGTCTGAGCAGAGCAGAGTGACCCTGCCCGGGGGTTTTGGCCATGCTGAGCTCGCCTTCCGAAGCCTGCAAGAGCCACAACAGGGGTGGAGTTTTAAGCCCCAACCCCCCCCTCCCTCCGCCCCCAACCCAACCCAAGCCAAACACAATAAATGCCCAAGCCTCAAATCGGTCTCTGGAACCCTTTGGAAAAGGCCTACCTGGAGATTCGTGGGTAGTTATACGTGTAATTACAAGGCCCTTTTCAAGGTTATAACCAGATATATTTTGAGTTACCCTACTTGTCACCCCACTTGTTTGTCACTACCCATGAACCTTGAAGTAGCCCTAAACCCCAAACCCCAAACCCCAAACCCCAAACCCTAAACCCTAAAAATCCCTTAAGAAGCCTAAAAAACCCTAAGCCCTAAACCCTTCAAGGCAGCTCTGGTGGCCCGCTTCGGGCGGCCGGTGCTCGAAATCGTGAATCCGCATGCAGCTTGAGAAGCAGAGCCTTCGGATTGTCGGGTCAAGTCAAGGAAACCCCCCTCCCCGAGGTTTAAGGTTTTTGGGCTTAGGTAGGGTCCCGAGAGTTTAGGGCTCTATCTAGGCTATAAAAAACAAGAAAAGCTTGTCCCCCCACCTCCCCCCGCCCACCCCCAACCCCACCCCCCCCCCCCCCCCCCCCCCCCCCCCCCCCTCCCGACCCCCCTCTCCCGAAAGAGGCTTTGAACCCGACAAACAAACCACAGCATCACAGTTTTTTCCCGCCGTACGCAACCCGCTTCCCAAAAAGATCCCATGAACACGTGCCTGCCTCAGGACCTTAACTCTCTTGAGTCAAGTTGTTTCGGGAAAAAAGGGTGTAAGTCGTGCAGATGGGTGAGCTCCGAGTTGAAGACAGGAGGATCAGAACAGTCTTCTTGACTGCGGTAAGTTTCCGCTCGAATGCTGTTTGCAGGGGGAACTCTCAAACCAAGCACTCATGGGAGAGTGCCCACGACAGAGCCCCGGCTAGGGTAAGCATGGTCCACTCCTGATCAAGTTCTCAACATACCTTGAACCCTGCGCCTTCAAAACCCCAACCCCCCAAGCTTGAGTGTGAGAGACAAGTTTTTGTTTTTGAAGCATCAGGGATCAGGGCTTGAAAAGGGTTTGTAGGAAGGCTTTGGGGGCCTTACCGGGAAACTTCACGATGTTTCATATCCAAGGCGGGCCTTCAGAATGTCACCTTCAGGATGGGCACGACCAACATGCAGCCCGAGGTGGGGTTGGGGGCCATGAGGTAAAGTACAGGTCCCCCGCAGGCGCGCAGAACATCTTAAGCTGCAAAGCCCCCCCCCCCCCCCACACCCGTTTCTGCTCAAGCATTCTCGGGGCTGAGCATCGTGTTGTTCTTCATGCCACGCACCATTCTGCAAAGGCATGGCCCAGCAACACAATAGCCCTGAAACCCTGAAACCAATCTTTGGCACCTTTGCAACCCAACCCCCCTCTTCCCTCTCCCCCGTTGGCCTTGAGAGGGTTCGGGGGGCCTTAGCGGACTTCGTGGCCCAGTCTTGGCCTGGTGCATGAAGGCAAAGCCGGCTTTCGCTTTCGCACCTGCAAGTCGGCAGCAGGACAGCGCGATGGGCTGTTGCGCCAGTCAATCGGCAGCTGGCGAGATTCAGTCCCTGCAGCAGAAACCAGAGAGCACCGCAGTGCCTTCGACCTTCACTGCAGATGCTGAGCCAGTGGTGGACCCTGCCAGCGGATACGGTTCTTCTCCTCTGCAGCCCTTGCTTCCTGGAGAAAACGACGGGCCAGCTTCAAAGGCTGCAGAAGATACCTCTGATGGCGGCTGCCCAGAGCTGGGGGAGCAGCTGCAGGAGGAAGCAACGCCGGTGGCAGCTGCAACGGCGCCCGCAGAGGATGAGATACACGAGGACCTTTCCTGGCACGAAGCAGCTGCAGCCGGGGATGTGTCCACCTTGGCCTGGCATTTGGCCCAAGCTTCGGACAGCAGCCAATGCTTGCAAGACTGCGCAGAGGACCGGGCCACTGCTCTCCACCTGGCTGCCTCTGGTGGACATGCCTCAGCATGTGCCTGGCTTTTGAGGGCAGCGGCAGATCCGTCCGCAGCCACCAAGATGAAAGCTACGCCACTGCACTTAGCGGCTCACGGTGGCCATTTGGAGGTGGTCAAGCTCCTTCTGGAGCCGGAAGCTTTCAATGTCGAGCGAGGTGAAGCTTGGCCCGATTGCACCAGCACTGACCTCTGGCGATGCACACCCCTCCACCGTGCAGCGGAAGCCGGCGCCGTGGAGGTAGCACTCTTGCTGCTGGAGAAGAGGGCGCCAGCAGAGAAGGCTGACCGCGAAGGAAACACTCCCTTGCACAAGGCGGCCGGCTCAGGTTCCGGCCCCCTTCTGGAGCTGCTCGTTAAGCAGGCCAAAGTGCAGCTGGATTTCACGAACAATGATGGCTTGTCTCCCTTGGATATCTGTGTGCGGGAGAAGCATGTGACTGCGGGTGACATTTTGGTTTCAGCTGGGGCAAAGTTGGTCAAGGACGTTCGGAAAACTCCACCGACACTCCTGGCTGCTGCATCTTCTGGGTTGCCCTTCCTCTGTAGCTACTTGCTGAAGGCAGACGATCGAGCAGTGAAGAAGCAGCTGACAGAGGTGGACGGTGCTGGGCTGTCGCCACTCTTTGTTGCAGCAAGTCGAGGAGACACAGCCGTCGTTGAGCGACTGCTGGAACACCCTTGTTGCCTTCAGCAGTTGGAGACCCCAGCAAAAGGTGGCCTCACAGCCCTGCATGTCGCTGCAGCTGCTGGATGCCGCGATGTGCTGGAGGTCTTGCTGGAACGGTCGGCGAGTCTGCAGCTGAAGGATGGTAACGGTACTTCTCTGCTGGGCCATGCAGCTGGGTCTGGCCGGCTGGAGCTGATGCACTGGCTCATCGAGCGCGGCTTGGAGCCAGATGCTTGCAACGATGGCGAGAGGACCGCTTTGCATCTAGCAGCTGAGGCTGGACAGGCCTCCGCTTGCGAAGCTTTGCTGGAGGTTGCCAAGGAGCCCCTTGCTCTGCTACAAGCACAAGACTGGGAGGGAGCAACGGCGGTGCACATGGCCGTGCGGGGCGGCCACGCCGCGGTTTGCAGGCTTCTGGCCGCCCAGCGCGCCGACCTCCAGGCCGACTTGGACTTCTGCGTGACGCCCATGCAGATTGCAGCCGAAGCAGGGCACCAAGAGGCGCGGGACTACACGTGTCATGTAGAGCCACTTGTTTCGAAGGCAGCTTCTTAAGCTGTATTTCCAAAAAGCTTCACCGAACCTGTGAATCACAATGAGGACCGTAAACCCTAAATCCTGAATCCCCTCGCCGCCCCTGGCAGGTGCTGGAGCTGTTGCTTGCAGACGTGGCAGACGCGCACCCAGATGCGCTGCACAAGGCCCTTACAAAGGGCCGCGTGTCAGACGGCCGGACCCCATGGCTGCTGGCAGCAGCCGAAGGGCACAGGGCAGCTTGTGAGAGCTTGTGGTCTGCCTCAAAGGCCTGCCACAACATCTACCTGCCATCCTCCCGCGATCGAGCTGGTCGAACGGCAATGATCCTTGCCGCCAGAGGTGGCCATCTCGACGTGTGCGCTTGGCTCATTGCGTCCAGCTGTCCTGATGGACTCAGCGAGCGGGATGCCTGCAGTTGGACGCCGCTTCACGCCGCCAGCGCTGAGGGGCAGAAGCCACTCGTGGAATGGCTCCTAAAGCAAGGAGCCGATATACGCGCTGTAGATGAAGACGGCCGGACAGCCCGAGAGTGGGCAGAGCTGAGGAAGCACGGCGCAACCGAATCCGTGTTGCGCAGAGCTGAAAAGAATGCCGTGGCTTCGTCGTAGCTCTGATGCGCACGCGCCTGGACCATGACAGGGGATCCTGGCACGATGCAGAAAGACGATTCGCGACAAGGAGTTTCACGAATTCGGAGAAGACGCGCACGAACAAAAGACAATCTGCATGTTAGCGCAAAGCATAGATCAAACATGGATCCTGAAATGGCTGCAGCAAAAGGCGCGCCAAGAGTCTTTCTGCCGCAGTCGTGACATGAAGCCGCCGAATGCATATTCATCCTTGTTTGGGCTGGGGGGGGGTCGTTTGCCCTGTTCAGATTGGCCTCGCCACGGCTATGGAGTTCCTGGTTGGCCTGGATTTGGAGAAGAGACCTGGCGGTATAAGGGCTCCGAAGTTGGGTGATCTGGGGGGGTACCTTTTCACGTTTTCCAGGCTCTTAGGATGTCGGGTTCGCCTTCGCAGAGGGTTTGGTTGGGGGTAGGGGGATGCGGAGCTTGGGTTTTGACTTCGAACTTTCCTGCTCTCCTAAAGCTTCCTGGCCCGGAGGCCCCAAACCCGGGAAAAATGGAACCCCAAGCAGTCTCTGATGATTCTAATGCACCATGGACCAACGAATAGATATGCGCATCTGAGCCATGACGCCTTCCACTCAACACGTTTGCGAGAGAAAAGCAGCCCTTCGATTTCCAAGTGACAAGAGACGAGACTTAACACTAAACCCTAAACTCTAAACCACTAGTGCCCTGCAGTGTGTCCGAGAGGTCAGCGAGGCCGATGGCAAAAAAACCCTCAACCCTAAAATTAAACGCTAGACCCGACACCCTCAACCCTGACTTGCCTCGTAGCCCGAGGCCTGTGGCCGGGCTCATCGGCGCGGCGACCTCTGTGGTCTCAGGGCCCCTGGCGATACTTGCAGGCGGACAAAAGGCCCGTCTCTGTTGTAGTGGCAGCTGATGACTCCTCCCTTCCTTTGTGTGGAGCTTGGGTTCTTTTTGTGGGGGGTTGTCAGAGTGCCGTAAGTGACCGTGCAACTCCCTGCAACGGACTCTGCAACGCCTAAGCCCTAAGCCCTAAGCCCTAAGCCCTAAACCCGAAACCCTAAACCCTAAACCCTAAGCCCTAAACCCTAAACCCTAAACCCTCTTGAAGTAGGTGCCGCAGATCTCCTTCGGAGCGACAGCCCCCACGCTCTCGAACAAGGCGAGAGAAGAAGGGAGGGGGTAAAAAAGGAGGGGGAGAGAATCCCTTCCCCCTAATCGGTCCGTTTAGGGGTTTAGGGGTTTAGGGTTTAGGGTTTAGGGTTCCCCCCATACAACACTAAAGGCGTGGAATAGGGGCGGTTTAGGGTTCAGGCTTTAGGGTTCCCCCCCCCGAATATTGAACCCCCCCACCCCCAAATATTGAATTCCCCATACTAGGGGTAAGGGATGCTTAGAACCTCTATTCGAATCCCTGGCAAGGACCCTTAGTAAAAAGGAGCATCCCAACTTATACCACGGAATCCTTGTATTCATAGATTCCTAAGCTACACAAAAAATGCCTATTCTAGTGAAAATGGGTCTCTCCGAGGTTCAGGAAAAGGCTTTTCGGAGAGAAAAGGCTTCCTAAACCTGTGAGGAAAGCTACCCCTACTTCATGCGCACGATCCCACCGGATAGCATCCAAGCTTTGGCGTTCTGGGCGTGGCTGGTGGTCTTCAACGCCCCTTGGCCAGACTTCCATGATTCCATGGGATGTTCGGGCTAGGAGCTGCTGACGTTTCTTTGCACACCTACTCGCCCTCTCCCTACCTTGCTTACTCTACGCCATACCGTACTACCCGACACCCTGCCCTGTTTGAACGCTCAAGGGTAGCTATGAGCGACATCGTGGCTAAGCCACCGCCGGATCCCACACATCTTTTCCTTAGTAGCTGAGTGAGCGCACACTTTACACATTTTGGGATACTATAACCCCCTAAAGAACTGAAAATGAACACATTTTTTGGGGCTTGTGAACTCAGCAACTAAAGTTCCCTAGGATGCGATAGGACGAAGGACAGCACGCAGAGGTCTGAAAGGTATCGGCTGGAGGGATTGCATGCTTCCTGCATGAGCCGGCTACCTTGCTTACACCTCTCACCCATGCCCCATCATGATAGGACGTCGAGGCTTTTTAGGGCATCCAATCTGAAAAGCTCTCCGGTTGTTCGTGATCCACGAAACAACCTTCAGGCCCCGGGATGTTCGCGGGGCCTTCGAACACCCTCAGGGCGTTGAAGGCCGAACGGAAGCCTCGAAACAGCCTCCCCCAAAGGCTTGATACCCCCAAAGGCCCAAGACCCTCAAGACGCCAAGAGACTCGCTCTGAGGTCAAGTTTGCCTTGTGCATGTACTCCGATGAGGCCTCTGCTTTCGGCCGGGGCTCAAAACCCCCTTACTCCTTCGCACCCTCCCGAATCTCAAACCCTTGTTTGGCTCTTAGTCGACAATTCGACATCCTAAACCCCAGATCCTGAAGCCCGAGCCCTAAACCCTAAAAAGACCAAACTTAACCAAAGGAACCTGCAGTGGGCCGCCAAGCCTCCACTGCTGATTTTGTGGGCGCCTTTTGTCTTTTTGGTTTGCGAGAGAGGGCGTGTGCCGAAGCAGGGGTCCACCCATGTGTCCCGAACCCCGTGGACCGCTCCCCTTGGGGGTTCATGGGTAGCTATAAGTAGGGGGTTATAGCCAGGTATGACCCCACTGTCCCCGCTTCTGGCCCCACTTATACCCATGAACCTCCTTTTTTACAGGCGTACGGCCAGGGCATCTTCCTGGCATTGCAGGAGGAGGCAGCCAGGGTGTGGCTACCAGTGAAAGCGGGTTGGGCCGGAAGTGGGCAGAAAAACTTCACACTTTGACACAGACTCAAAGCACGAGAAGGCCGGACACCGGCTAAGATTGCGATGTACGTAGGTAGAGGGGGTCGTGGCGCTTGGGTTGGCTTTCCTCAAGGACACACCCCAAGCCAAAAACCCCTAAACCTCAAACTGGCCTGTTTGCGTCCCCCGATACTGACACCAGTGACTGTCGCCAGTGTTTCAGCTTCAATGTGCAAAGTTGCTATCCTGCAGTATGGCAAAAAAACTGCCCCGAGTTTCCCGAGCGGGCATGCCAGGTTGGCAAAAGGCTGACATGCAAGGCTTGAGGTTTATCAGTGCACTCACAGACCCGCGCAGGCCATGGCAAATGGCGATCCGGATCGTGTCGTAGGCGCGCCGGGACTCCGACTGGTTCCTGCCTTTGTCCGGCCCTTGCGACCCGGCCCTGACCCCAAGAAAAGGCCTTCCCCGGGGCAGCCGTCGGCCCCCAGAAACATGGTGTGCCCGGTGCGCACAAAGACACCCCGGCCTCTTCCCGGGCAAAGTGCGAGCTGGCAGGATGAAGACACCCGACCTTCAAACCGGGGCCGAAACCCAAGCCGCCCTTCCGAAGGCCACCGACTACGATACACGCCCCAAAGCTTCGATGTCGACGAGGCCCGGATGTAGGGTGCAACGCAATCAGGTGGGGAGGGCGGAAAGGGAGATGTTGCCAACACTTATCAGAATCGTCCCATATCGTCCATGTAGTCACTGTGGTGCAAGTTTTTTTTGCAGATGTTCTGTGTAAAGCAGCATGTTAATCAACTACTGTATGGGATGTTGCAGTCCGTTGTTTGACTCCTTCCTCGGTTTATGCTCACGGAGACGAAGTGCCGAATCTCGCGCTGCTCACTCAACCTGGGCACAAGGCACGCAGCGTGGCGCTTCACGTCAAATCTCGTGGCTCCCGCTTCCTGCTCGTAGTGCTGACGCCAGGGTGCACTTGTGCCATCGTCATGTGAAGTTTCAGATCCACTCCAGCAAACTTGAAGTAGGGAGTCCAACCAGTCGTGACCATGCATTGTCGCGTAGATGCAAGCGGCCATGATCAGTTCATGAGGACTTCGGTAGAAGCGGCCCTAAGCCTGACGAATCTCTCCGAAAAAGCTCCAAAAGTTTAGCATGGCTTTCGACCATGTCAGCTTCTTAGTAGGGGGGGCTGCTCATGCTTCAGAGTACGGGAGTCTTCGGAGAGTTCAACAGTTTTTGGGCCTGAGCTATCAAAAACGCTACAGACGGAAACCTATAAGTACAAACCACAATAGCAACTCTCATGTTTATGCTTTCCGTGTACTTCTTGAGGGCTCCGTACGGGAGGGCTGAGTTGAGGATTCAGCATATCGGTTTTAGGGCTTATAGGCATTGTTTAGGGTCCATAGGTCTATAGGGTTTTCAGGTCAGATCCGATTGCTTCCCGGTTGCTCTCAGCGTGACTTGCCCTAATCTTGAGCCCCGTAACAATCGGAGGTACATATACGAACCGATACACAAAACGCGTGCCCTCGGCTTGGCGGCTTTGCGGTAAAAGGGGTGCTTCGACCGCGCGAACTGGGCCCAGAGTCACGAACCCCTACTGCTCGCCAACCAGCCAAAACTAGGTTGGTTTTTGGGACATTTTTTATTTTCTTATTTGGGTTTATAAGGGATCCTATATATATATATATATATATATATAATATTTTTTTTGTTTTTTTCAGAGGGTTTAAAGGCCAAGCAGCCAACAGCCGAGGGTGAATAATCTGGACCGTGTTCTCGGCGTCTTGGAAGAGGAAGGCATCCCGCAAGTGCTGCTTTGCCCACTTGATTCCGGCTTTTGTTGTTTGTTGTCTTTGGGCTTAGGGCATGGAGTGTAGGGTTTAGAGCACTTGCCAAGAGCAGATGGAAGAGTCTCTCCAAATCAGGGGCGACTTCGAGAGAGTGCAGCATCTGTGTGAGGCTGTGCTGGTGCGTGTGCGCTTTGGTATAGTCCATCTAGATGTCTGGCATGGTGCGCCCCAGACTCCCTCGACATCCCTAAGCCCATACCATGGCCTATCCCAGCGGCTTTGCATGCCTCCTCCTTCGGAGGCATGCTCAGCCCTTCATGGCAAGTCCTTGGCTCCGAGTACGTCGAGGGCTTGCTGCCGGAGGACGTCCGGGGGGGGGGGGGGGGGGGGGGGGGGGGGGGGGGGGGGGGGGCAGGGGTGGGTGTGAAGGGATCTGTTCTGGGGCGTAGAAGTATGGAAGATACAATCTGCACGTGTAAATTTACTATAGCATCTCAACATTAAAGCCTTTCAGGTGCTTTGACAGGCGCGCAAACTCCTAGTCGCAGAGCAACGCCGGGCAACCTTTGCTTCGAGCTTGGGCTTTTGGGTAAGGGAATTTAAGATAGTGACTGGCCTTGGGGGGGTGGGAGTTCGCTTGGAAAGAATTTGCAGAGGGGCAAAGGTCAACAACCTCACTCATGGCGAACTGTCGCAGATCCAGATGGGCCGACTTTTTTCCAGAATCTTTCAGCACATGCTGGACAACAATATGACAACATGCGCTCCCCAAACACCGGGAACCCGAATCCCAAGCCCCTGGGTTTTCGAAGGCATTCCCGGTTGGATACATGCGCATGAACCCGCTCGACAGTGGCCCGAAGTTACAGGACTTTGCAGGCACCAGGGAAGGGGGGGAATGTGCAGGGTTTGGGATTCGTGGTTTTCAAGAAATCCCATGAAGAGTTGGCGCAGGGTTGGCTGTGGAGATTTGCCTGGTGGCTTGAGGCTCTTTGCGTCACACTGCCGGCTATGGCTTTCTACAAACCTTCCTGACAGCGCCTAGATGGGCTTGCAGGGTTCGGAGGGCATTTCTCGGCTGTGTTTCACGTCAATCCTTGGCCAAACCAAGTCACGGGCCTTGCACCCCCCGGAGCCAAACGAGTCGTGTTCGTTCGCCTGAACCCCTGAGTTGTTACTGGAAACCTTCTGAAGCCCAGCGTATTCAGAAGCCGAAGAGGCACGAGCCATGACTTCATCTCGAATAAGGGCCGACCATACGGCTGCAATACCCCCACACTCCACCCCTCACAGCCCTAAACTACTCTGAGCCCTGATCCTAACTCGTCAGGCTTTTGGTCGCGGCTCACCCCGGAAGATGCTGCCTGGTGGTCATGGGAGTTTCAACCCTAACGCCCTATGAACCTGAAGCCCTGAACCCTCCGACCCCCACGAATTGTTTGGGCAAGAAGCTGAGAGCTGCCTCAGGAAGGGACGGCTGGGCCCTAACCCCTGAGGGCCTCCACCCCACCGTAGAGACTCCTTCGAATCCCCTGTGCCTGGAGCCTCAAATTCAGGCGGAACGAAACTCCTCCTCTCCCAATTCCTAATGGTCTTGGGATTAGGATTTGCCTGGTTTGAAGAAAGAAAGGTTCAGAATACCTGAGGCCCAGGGTTATTGCGCGATCTCGAAGCAAAAGGGGTTTAGAGGAGAATTCTCACCAGTTCCGTGCCTCAAAACAAAAGGTTAAAAATTCCGGGTTCAAGGGCGTCGTTGGGGGATGTGTATGGAGGAGGAGGTAGCGTGAATACTGTAAATGGCATGCAGACCTTTCAGCACGACAAGTCGGAACGGAGGTCGTCGGGGAAGAAGCGCGGTCGCGCTACAAGCTGGACAACCTCAAGGTTCCACTGGAGGCACCTGGGCCCCAGAATCCAGGGAGCCACTCCAATCCCCTCTTAAGAACCGGCTGAAATTATATTTTTGCTGGGGTTCCAATTCAGTATAGTCCTTGATTCTTTTTTTCCCAAGCTGTATGGGTGTTCCTCATCGATGAGTGGCACAGTCCTTTGAATTTCTGGGAGCTACCCTGGCCTGCAGAAATGAGGTGCAAAACCTCTTCACCTAACAAACTCCCCATTACAATGCGGGCCGCTGGGGCAGGGGTATGGCACTCACTTCTTCGCCCCAGCGACTTAACGAACCCCTTCTCCCACTTCCCCATCCCGAAGCACGACGCATTGAGTCACAGCAGTTTGAAGTGGAGAGCGTCAGTATGCGCCACTGCAGATTCTGCGCAAAGTAAGTGTAGGACCGCAGACATCCTGAACGGGACAGCCTCCTAAAACGAAGCTCTCAGACCCTAACCCCTAAGCCCTAAACTCTAAACACAGCTGAAGAGGACAGTCCAGCAGCGCCGATCACGGACAGCCTCTTCACGGTGCCCCCTCCTGGTGTTGTGGATGGGTGAAGGTTCTTGGAGGCTGACCGTTAGCCCAACAGCCCAAGTACCCGTTAATTAAAGAAAATTAGCTGTGATTCCAGAAGCAGGACCCCACAGAGCAGTTCAGGGGGTATTACATAAGCAGGACCCCGCCCCCACCCCCCCCCCCCCGCCACATAATTAGTTGAGGGGTATGATTGTGCTCTCTAGGGGAATGTTTCCAGGCACCTGGCTGACCTGCATTTTTTTTCTCGAGGACTCCGGTGACACAAGGTAGCTTAATTGCGGTCCTGGGTTGCTTGTAAACTTCGGTCTATCCGTTTCAACCCTGCTTTTCTAACCCGCCAACCCTATCTCAGCCCTAAGCCCGGAGCAGTGGGACTGGATAACAAGTTCGCGGCAGCGTGGTGTGCGCTTGCTCGGAACCAAGGGAAGCTGCAACCGCTCAGGCAAGACTTCGCCCGGATCTAAACCTTGGACCCATAAACGCCCAGATCAGCACGCAGCACCAAGGACGTGACGGGGCTCAGCTCGCAGGACCGCTTCCTCGTGGATGCAGGTCCCGCCCCTTTTTTTGGAAGCGCGCTTTGTTTTTTCAATTCTTGTGGACACGTAAGCTTGGTGACTAATCCCCAAGACGAGTCAAGGGCCCGTGCCCTGAACCAAACAAAGGCCAGCAGCCAGTGGGCCCTAAACATCTCCGAGCTGTCAAAGCACATGCACAGCAACCTTTAAACCCTGGACACACGCCCAAAAGCTCAAGCCCCCCGCACCAAAGCCACTCGAACAAGTCCTCCAGCCCCTTCGAAGAAGCAATGTAATGAAACAAGCCACCTTTCTAATCAAAAACGCAACGTCGAGAGCTAGCCTAGGGCACAGCTTCCTCCTGGCAATCAACAGCCTCCTGAACCAAGGCCTGGGGGTCTTTGGAACTTTCTTCCCGCCTTTTTTGGGGTTGGGGTTTGTTTAGGGCTTGAAAGCTTGAGCGCTTCAGTTCCATGGTTAAGGGCTTCGGGGTTTGGCGCAAGAAGCTCTGGCAGGCTGTTGTGGTTGTTTCTTTCGGGCGTGCTTGGGCCAAGATGCCCCTAATTTTGCCCTATATCCCCTTTGCCTGTAGTGCGCAATCCGAAATCCAGGCGTCAGCCTGGGTGACGTGCGTGGGCAGAGGCTGCTGACGGAGCTGAGGCACCTGGGCTTGAGAGTTGAGGCCTTTAGATGAACGAGACGAGTGGGGGTTTTGGGGACGATTCTCAGTTGCTACGGGATTGATTGACTGTTATTCTTTAATCGTGCAACCCAAGCACATGTCACAATCACCGAAGCCCTCTATAATCCTTAATCTTCCTTGAACCTTAAACTCTAGAGCACTAAGCCCTGAGAAAGGAAGACAACATTTGCCGGCATCACTGGCTTCGTCGGCTTCGACGACTCTCCTCCGAACCTGGGGGGGGGGGGGGGCTCTGGCCGTGTTGCCTGCAAAGCGCATCTCATATTCTGGAACTTACAGCCACACCCTTATTCACATCGTTCTTCCGGGAGTTGGTTGCAGGGCTCAACATCATGTTTGTTTTCTGGGTACCCACGGCCTAGCCTCTTTCACGCGCCCAATCCAGGAGAGAGGAGATCGGTGCCCGAGTTGCACTGCGCCTGCCCGACCCTAAATATGTAAAGAGGTGCCCCCAAACCCTCTGAGCCCAACACAATCCCGCCAAGAAAGCACAAAACACAACTCTGCACTGCAAGCCACGAGCCCTAGGCCTGTGCGTTGACTTGGTTCCCAGCGTGTCAGAAAGTTCTGGTCAGAGCCCCATAGCGGATCTGATAAACAACAGGAGGGTTGTTTCTGGTTTGGAAGCTTGAGGGCGAGTCTTCTAGAACCCAGTACGCACGTGGATGGCATGTGCCCTTTCAGGGCAAGCAACTACTACAACTTGCTGAACATCCAGGCGAAACCTCTCTGGCTTTCGGGCATGGGACGATGGCATTCGCGGCTCCAGTTTTAAGGTTGTGAGGGTTTGGTAATGGGCCTTGAGGGTTTAGTGTGGGCGGGATGTGAATGCAGGAGGATCGCCGGAAGATTCACTATCGACTTACCGCCAATGTCAAAAGTTTGCATACTGCTTGAGATGACGGAGCAGTGTCGCCGGGTGCCTCCCCAAGCCTAAAGCCGAAATAGGCCGTAAAGTCGAAATACACCTTGGACCCGACACCCCAAGCCTTAAGCCCCAAAAAATGGACCCCTCAAGCCCTGAGTCCCCAAAAGGTGGTCCAGGGACGCCGCGAGTGGGTGAATGTTGGAGTCTTCTACCAGGTGAGGACTGCCAGGTTTGGAGGGTTTTCGGTGCGGGGGGAAGGGAGGGAGGGGGGGTTGGCTGTGTGGCTATGAGGGTTTGGGGTTTCAGGATTTTGGGTTTGGGGGTAGGGTTGCCAAGGCCCCCGAAGCCCCTAAACCCTACCACCCAAGCAACCAGTACCCTCTCATTGCTTAGCGCTTTAGGACACCTTAGGTTAAACCTCGGGGTGGGGATGAAGGGTTGGGACTCCCTGGACTCCAAACGATGTTCCTATTCAGGGGCTTGGCGTTTATAGGCCACAACTTAGGGGATCTCATGTTTGCGTTTGTGTTGGGGCGCCTGGTTCTGGTTCGGCTGCTGCAGGCGCAGGGAGAGCTGATCATTTCCGGGCCCCTGACGTGGATGGAGCCTCTGCGAAGAGAAGTGCTGAAACCTAAGCCCGAACAGATCCGAAACGAGCAACTCACATATGTCATATGTGCCGAAATCCTGACATAAGAACGCTGTAGTGTCCGCAGCTTCTTGGGATCACCCTCGTAGGGTTCAGAAATCAGACAAGGCTGTTGGGGTTCTTGGGTGGGACGAGGAGTTGTCAGACCGCGGTTTCGTAAGAGAACGAGTAGGGCTTTTTTTCGGCACCACGCCCTTAACCCTAAAACCGCAAACCCTATTCCCCCAAAACCTAAGCCTTCACCCTTGAGCTTTCCGACCAATCGCTTCTGGGGGTTGCACTGGGGTTTTGCACCCTGTATATCTAGAAGATACAGGACGCCAGGAGGTGAATGTTTATCGTGGATCCCCCCCCCCCCCTCCCCGTGCAAATTCAAGGGGTCCAGCTACAGATTGTGGCTTCATGGCTGGTTGCATGATGCCAAGCGAACATGCAAGATGGTTCCCAAGCCCTGACCCCACGTTCACCCACAACCCGGAACCCTCAGCTTACCAGCTCCCGAGGATGGACAGCAAAGCCTGACCGTGCCGACACAGCTACCCAGACTGGGTTAGCAATTTCTCGGTTGCGAGCCTTCAAGCCCTCACACACTGTTTATCCAGGGTTTTTCGGGTGTTTTCGGCTTGTCAGTCTCAAACCCCTGAGTGCGAAACTCACCACGCTTGATTTTGAGCTGCTGGCCACGCTTGCAGCCCGGACCCTGAGGGGCTCAGGGACCCTTCGCTCGGAGCGCGTGAGTTACTCACATTGGATTCCACCCATCGCCTCCCCCCCGCCCCTTTCGCCAGTTTCTTCTTGGTGGCCGAGTGTGAGCTGGGCCTCTTCCAGGACGACCCACGCTGTCAGCCTTGCCCAAGAGGCCTGGGCCCATGTATCGGCGGCTAGATTTAAAGAAACAACAGCAACGAACGTCAAGCAAGGGCCATCCTCATACGGCATAGGTTAAGAGGTTTTGAGGGGTGGGTTTTTTTTCTAGCAGCTGAGGTTCCATTGCTGCTTTGCTGTTGAAGGGGAGGGTGTTTTTTGATTCGGGGATGCAGTGGGCAAAGGACCTGTTCCACCCAGCTCCTCAGAAGATGACCATGGGAGAAAACCTCACAGCCCCTGAAGCCTGCGGGGCAGCTGGGGCCTTGCTGAACCCCAAGCCCTAAGCTCATGAAGGCTCACGTCACAAGGAGGGTGAAGAGTAACCTTTCTTAGTCAAACTCTCTTAACTAGGGAGTATACTTAAATCCTGATCACGAGCCTTGCGTTCTATGTCCAGGCTTCTTCTGCCTGGGTGGTAGCACCACCTACCAGGCGTGTCCGCGAGGACGGGCCTCATTTGGGGACGCGAGGGTTCAAGAGGGGACTTCGGCCTTCTGGGGGCCCCTTCTTTTTCGTTTAGGGTTGAGAGGGTTGAGGGTTCAGGGTTGGGTGCCAGAGCCCGGGTTCAAAAGGGTTGAGGGTTCAGGGTTCAAAGGGGGGGGAGGACAACTTCCAGGTTCTCGTGGGGAGCGGGGCGCATCTTGGACTCAGCAAGTCCAGGCAAGCATTCCTTCTGGGCGAGCTTGTGAGCCCAAACCCTAAACCCTAAACCCTAAACCCTAAACCCTAAACCCTAAACCCTAAACCCTAAACCCTAAACCCTAAACCCTAAACCCTAAACCCTAAACCTAGACCCTAAACCCTAAACCCTAAACCCCAAACCCCAAACCCTAAGCCCTAAACCCTAAACCCTAAACCCTAAACGCCCTGAGCGAGGAACCTTCACGAGCGAGGTTGGCATGTCCAACTGTGCCCTCTCTGGATTCAGGGTTGAGCGTGGGGATGTTCCCCCTTGTACTACCAGCCCTTAATCGGAAATAATTTGGGGTACGATAATCCTTGGGACTGTTAGTATACGGCGCAACATCCCAAGCTGAGGGTCTAAAACTTTTGGGGGGTTCAGGGCTTTCAGGTCTTGCAAAGCGCACGGCTTGGGACTTGAAGCTTGGGCCTACATCCGCGCCTGTCATGGACGCTTCCGGTTTTGAGGGTTGCCCGACTACGAGCCTTCTTAAACCGTTTGTTGCATTGAGCCTCGCAGAGTTGTCAAAATCTAGGTAGGTCTCTATTTTATCTCTTCCCTTCAAGAGGATCATTCAGAGGGTCTTTTAGCGCCATCCTAGAAATGTATCAACGCGCGATAGCTCAGTGATCCGCCGAGCTTCTCCCGGGATGTCTGACAGCCCCGACCTCCCAAATCTATACGTCCAACTGCGTCAAGAACGTGAGAAGGCTGAAGAAGGGGCCTCCGCCTTTAACCCCTGCTTGCCGAGGCACACCTTGTGCCGTCGGGCACTTCGCGTCGACATCGGGCTCGAGCAACAACCCTGCAAGTTGAGATTCAGGAGTCGGATTTCAGAGCTTTCCCTGGCGGGGCTTAGGAGCTTTAGGGTTGAGCCAAAAAGGCCTGCAGCGAAAGGACTTGCAAGATGTAACCCTCACGTGGCTACGACCCCCTTCAGCCCTCGTCATGCTTTGCAGAGCCCAAGTGCGCCCAACGCCTTAGATTCTAGATCGAGATCCCTCCCAAGAGCCCATCAGCATGAGGTGGCTGCCTCGCCTGCAATCCTGGCACCCACGCCAACCGCACTGGCATGGCGCTCTGTGACAAGTGCCCGAAAGGCTGCCTGCAATCGCACGCGAAGCCCTAATTCCTTAACCCCCCCCCCAAAGCTCCCTCAACTCACTCCAGGCTCCACCCTATCAGCCCTATAAGCCCTGCAAGAGTGTTGTGCCAGCTTGGCAGCTGAACAGGCCCTCACAAGCGCGGAAGCTTGAGGAGGCTTTAAATTGGTAGCATGGCTTTGCACAACTTGGGCTTTTAGGGCGGCCTTTCTGCAATTTGGTGCTTTTCCGAAATTGGGGTACCTTGTTGGGTCCTTATTATACTCGCCTCGGCCCACGCAGTCCCAATGGCAGATGGCAAGAATTCAATTCCCCACGCCCAGCCCTTGTGCCGTGGAGCCTTTGTGACTACGCCCGACCCCCCGACCCCCCCGACCCCCCTTCCCCCTACCCCCCCCTCCCCCCCCCTACCCCCTACCCCTACCCCCCCTACCCCCCCCCCCCCCCCCTACCCCCCCCCCCCCCTCCCCCCCCCTACCTCCCTACCCCCCCTACCCCCCTACACCTTGCAGAGGCACCTATTTCAATGACTCGGCCGCCGTCCACTGCACGCGATGCCCACTGAACTTTACCACGGAGGTCCCGGGCTGGGGGAAAGCATAAAACCTAGAAATCTCAAAGCCACCTCTGTAAGTTTGGGGTTTAGGGTGAGCTCTGCATTTTTGAGCAGTGACCTTGAAAGCCTGTTGCAGCTTGTCTGTCCGATCTTGACTGGGGATCCGGACGGTTTCTAGGAATACGGATTGGGCTTTGGGATTGGCCTCGCTTGAGATGGAGACATCAGAGCACCACGCCTAGCCTAAACCCGTGGAATGACCTGACTGCGCCCACGCTGGGCAAACAAACCCCAAAAAGCTGATGAGCAGCTGTTTCGCAGTTGCCTTCCAGAAACAAAAACGTCAAGAATTGTGTCGACATAATTCTCAGATAGTCCTCTTGACAGTTGCCGGGGGTGGGCATACAGAGAAGTTCTGGCCAAGTTTGTATAGAAGCTTATGTTTTTTCCCGCGAGAAAACATTTTGAGAGTACATTTGAGTGTTTGAACTAGAAGTTCTTGGTTTCCTAACCACCTGCTCCCCCAAACCCCGAAAACCCCCCAAACCTGCGCACTTCAAAAACATCCCTGCTGCCCTGCGTCAGCCGAGCCCTTTGTGGAGGAGTCGGGGTCCATCGACATCTCAGAGTGTGAGTGCGGCGAGGGTACGTTCCTTTGTGCCGGCACCTGGGCTTTGATAAGCTTCCATCGGTTTCCCTGGCTATGTGGGGTTGATGCCTCAACAAGAGCCCAGGTAGTCCTGCATGACCGCCGCAACCGTCATCATCAGGAAAAACAGTTCCTGTAACAGTAGAAGCAAGGGCCCTGAACAGGCAACCACGCCAAGCCCCAAGCCCGCCCCCTGCACAGTCGAAGCTCCTCAGTCTCCTCAAAATCTCCAGCAGAGGCATTGGTTGTCTCACCTGCCCTAGGGGGCTCCGCTGCCCGGCGGGGCGGGGGCGGCCAGTGCAGCAAGCGGGAACCTCGCCCGTGCGTGTGGAGTTAGGTCGTAAAAGGGTTTCAAAGGGTTAGTGCTGAAAGGAAAAAAAAGGCAGGATCCGGTAAGGGAACCCTACAGCTGCCCCAAGAACAGGTGACCAAAACACACGCGCATGCCGGGCAGTCATTAGGGAGGCAGTCAGGATACTGAGGCCACTTCCGTAGCACTTAGGGCTCTGCATCGAGACCCTAGGCTTTTGGTACAGGGTTTCGGAGTGCAGGGTTTAGCTATGTTGGAGCCCGTAATCCCCAAACAAGCTTCAACCCCCCGCAGTGCCACACAGTCACACACTCGAATGCTCACTAACCTCGGGCTGGACTGGAGAACACACAGCCCAAACCCCGAGTCTGAGGATACTGGTCTCCTCCTGCGGCACTCGACCAGTGCTCTTTCTCGGTGCTGCGGTGCCGGAACGGAGCCTTGGGCTACGTAGCCTCTGGCGTGGTCGGGGCCACTTAGGGAGGGTGGGGGCCCTTAGGGTTCATGAGAGGTTTGGGTTGAGATGCAACCCTGTAAGCCCTGAAGAAGGTCTGAAGGCTCAGGGGAGGCCCTGGCACGTCTCCAACTTCCCCTCAGTCGCGCAAGGATACCAGTGCCCACCCAACTCGGTGCTTGGCGTGTGCCCAGAAGGGCGTGAAGGAGCGGCTTGCAATAGGTGTGTCTCGGTGGCAGCGGAGGTTTTGGATTCAGGGTTTCATGGTTTGCTGCTTCCTGCTGGCGGGGGGGTGGCTGTTATGCCGTTTTAGTTGCAGTAGTAGTAGTAGTAGTAGTAGTAGTAGTAGTAGTAGTAGTAGTAGTAGTAGTAGTAGTAGTAGTAGTAGTAGTAGTAGTAGTAGTAGTAGTAGTAGTAGTAGTAGTAGTAGTAGTAGTAGTAGTAGTAGTAGTAGTAGTAGTAGTAGTAGTAGTAGTAGTAGTAGTAGTAGTAGTAGTAGTAGTAGTAGTAGTAGTAGTAGTAGTAGTAGTAGTAGTAGTAGTAGTAGTAGTAGTAGTAGTAGTAGTAGTAGTAGTAGTAGTTGTAGTAGTAGTAGTAGCAGTAGCAGTAGTAGTAGTAGTAGTAGTAGTAGTAGTAGTAGTAGTAGTAGTAGTAGTAGTAGTAGTAGTAGTAGTAGTAGTAGTAGTAGTAGTAGTAGTAGTAATAACAATAACCAAACATAATAATGATAATAGTAATAATCGTAATCACAATAATGGTGATAATAACAATAAGGAAAAGACAGAAACCGAGCACTATCATAGTAAGCCACCTAAAACTTTATAGAATATACTAGTATCACATGGCTCCCCGGCAAACACACCCCCCCCCCCACCCCCCAAGGCTCGCTACTGTCCCAGGATCCTGCAACGCGGTTAAGAGGGTCTCAGATTTACTGCATCGGGTTGGGCAGAGTGTTTGGCTTCTTTGTGCGTAAACAGGTTTAGGACTATCCCCAATCCCCCCCTTGAGTGGGGGAAAGCTCTGGGGACCAGCGAAACTAGCGGTTCAAGGCGCTTTCGGGCCGGGGGTTCATGGGTTCCCGGCTTTGTCAGGTACACTTCTGGTTGTTGCTTGTTTTTTTAGCGTCACGCTCCCTCAAAATCGCCAGCCCCAGAAGGTTCCCTTGCATTCCTAGGCGATTGGGTTGCAGCTAGAATAAGTCTCGAAGAATCGGCTGGTGAGAGGGGTCTGAGAGCTCAGGCAAGGCCGGCCACTACCCGGTACCCCTCGGCATCTGCGAGGCCTCGTGGTCAATCCCTAGATGCCAAACCAAACTATGTGGGGGATCCTTTAAAGGGAAGTATTTATTTATGGGTTCATGAGGGGTACCCTCATTTTTCGGAAATCCCCATATTATACGCACCAGGAAGTTATCTGGTGTAGAGCTTTGCCACGACCAGTTTGTGGAGAGTTTGGTCTTTCAATCAGGGTGGTTCACTGCCAACTTCCCGATTTCCTGGGTTCAAATTTGAGGTTTAGGTTTTTGTACGAGGCCTGGATGTAAAGGTTTTGTATGTGAATCGTGCCGTAGAAGTTAAGCGATTTCGCATTACGCTGAATGCTGCCTGCTGGAACTGGAACAGACATCCCTTTCCCCGGCTGCAAACGTGAAGGCCTGCGAAAATGAGCACGTCGTGTTTCCTGTAGTGGCCACAGTGGTGGTCACCTTCTTGTCGATATTGCCACCTGGCTCGTTTGTTTTGCGGGTACATGTGCCATCTGGTCAACAATGCTTGTAGTGATCTGCAACCCTTGCTCCAGGGACTGGGGTTCGATCGGTGGAAGCTTTGCGACTTGCGCACCGCACCTCAACCCCTTGAAAGTGTGGGAGGCCAGTCGGGTAATCATGGAGGAAGGACGACAGAGGTGTAGGGGCTGGCGTATCTGGTAGGGCTGAAGTCAAACAGGCCAAGCCCTAAGCCACAATTACGGATTTCGTCGGGTCTTCCAAAAAGAGAGAGGGTTTAGGACATATGGTGCGGCGTCTGGCGTGTCCGGCCCCCCAATATGGTATGGTCAGGCAGGGGGGGGGGGTGGGCCGACTGTGAGCATACCCTCTGCATAACGCGTGTTTTGTGAGTGTTGCGCCTTCGGTTGAGAGACCCTAAACCCTAAACCCGAAACCCTACACCCTAAACCCTAAACCTTAAACCCTAAACCCTAAACCACCACAACCATCACCCCACAGGGCCACAGGGGGGTGGAGCCACAGGAGAGGGGGGGGCTAAACCCTAAACCCTAAACCCAAAACCCAAAACCCTAAACCACCAAAACCACCACGGGGGGGGGGGGGGGGGGAGTGGGGGGGGGGGAGGGGGGGGGGCGGGGGGGGGGGGGGAGGGGGAGGGGGGGGCCGCGGAGCACTGGACCATCTATGGCCGTGAGTCTCTTTAGGGTTTCGGATGTTAGTGTGGAGCGTGGCATGCAGCGATCGGGAACCATCTTATGGCTGCCGCTGAACGGGCTTAACGAGGGTATGGTTGGTTGTTCTGGCAGGGCTCCGGCTACCAGGCTATCATGCAGCCAGATACTCAAGGGCCGCCTGGTTTGGGTTCGGGTCCGTGCTGGAGCCCCGAACACGTGAACCTTGCCATCATGGAGATCTGTACGGCATCTTCTTCTTTGGCTTCTTGCAAGTTTGGCTTGGACATACATGTCCACGACACAATGTTTACTACCCTCTGTGAACCACCAAGCCTCTGACCCGTGCCCCCCAGGTTTCTGTCGACCATCAACACGGACCTCCACCAGATGCTGGCTTCAGATCGATCTTGGGGGGTTGAGATAAAAAGGGTCTCAGTCCTCCCCTCCCCTGCCCTCCCCCCCACCCTTTTGGCGTGGTGGGCATCCGTTGCTTGTTTCGTTTCGTCTCTGGGGGCTCCAGGGTTCCAACTTCTTCCGACAAGTTGGCGAAGTCTGCCCACAAGGCCCAACTTGTGGTCCTTGAGCCACCTCTGAGCCCTTTGCCCGGACTTCAAGATTCTGAGGCCAGAAGCCCCGAAGCCCTCCACGTTTTCCCCGAAGTTTGAAAAGAATCCCATCATCCGAGGAAGAGTCTGAGCTTGCTTACAGTGGCGCTTATTGGAGGGCAGCTCGTCATAGCTGTGCAGGCCAGGAGAGGAGGTTCGGCTTTAGGGCTTTAAACCCTAAACCCTAAGCCCTAACCCTAAACCCCAAGGGCCTTAATTATTGGGAGAGAGTTGGCAAGCTTATGGGGAGGCGAGTTAAGGATGAGGATGGAAACAAAAGGGAACATGGCCCAAGGTCTCACTGGCTTACCGAGGGTTTTTGAAGATCGATGTGCAGAGGACCTATGTGCAGAGGGATGCGACATTTGGGCACATGAAGTAGCAGATATTTATATTTAATATCGACCGGATGATACACTTTCTGCATTATTTAGGCGTATGAAGGTATATCGACTTAAGTGCGTGCGGACCTGAGCCTCACTAGAC